GAGGAGGAGAAGGAGAAGGAGGAGGAGGAGGAGGAGGGGGGAGGAGGAGGAGGAGGAGGGGGAAGGAGGAGGAGGAGGAGGGGGGAAGGAGGAGGAGAAGGAGGAGGGGGGAAAGGAGAAGGAGGAGGAGGAGGAGAAGGAGAAGGAGGAGGAAAAGGAGAAAAGGTGGAGGAGGAAGGAGAAGAAGGAGGAGGGGGAGGGGGAGGAGGAGGAGGGGAGGAGGAGGAGGGGGAAAGAAGGAGGAGGGAGGAGGGAGGAGGAGGAGGGAAGGAGAAGAAGGGGAGGAGGAGGAGAAGGGGGAGGAGGAGGAGAGGGGAGGAGGAGGAAAGGGAGGGAGGAGGAGGAGGAGGAGGAGAAGGAGAAGGAGGAGGAGAAGGGGGAAAAGGAGGAGAAGAGAAGGGGGAAGGAGAAGAAGGAGGAGGAGGGGAGGGAGGAGGGGAGGAGGAGGAGGAGGAGGAGGAAGGAGAAGGAGGAGGAGAAGGAGAAGAAGGAGAAGGAAAAAGGAAGGAGAGAAGGGGGGAGGAGGAGAAGGAGGAGGAGGAGGAGGGGGGAGGGAGGAGGGGAGGAGGAGGGGGAAAGGAGGAGGGGGGAGAGGAGGGAAGGAGAAGGAGGAGGAGGAGAAGACGACGACGAACAAACATTTGTCTGTGTCTATTTGTCTGTCTGCCAAGCTCCCTGTCTATCTGTCTAGTTCTGTCTCAGAGAGAGCCACAAGACTGTGTCATCATCACGTTTACTCACATCTTCAAGCAGAGTATAGCACTTTGTCTGGATTTTTTGGGTTATCCTAGGTAATTTACACTATGTATACTTGTATTTATGTGTACCTGTGAGACAGAAATAGACAGACAGACAGAAAGAGAGAGACAGATTGAAAGAGATAGAATGAGGGAGAAAGATAATTAGATAGAATGGAGGGGGAAGCAGCATCCGACCCCATTGTTTTGACAGGCGGTAGGGGGAGTGACTAATGAGACAATATGTCATTTTGACAGCTGCAGACTCCTGACTCAAAACAATTATAAGCCACACACTCGCACACAAGACAAGCTTGCTGAATGGTGATAATAGCAGTTTTATGAAAGTATCTAGTGACTATATATGCATATATATATTATAGAAACCAGAAGCAAGAAGGGAAGGCAGGAATGAAGGAAGGACTAGATGAAAGGAAGGAAAAAAGTAAGGAAGGACAGATGAAGGAATGTAGGAAGAGAGGTGGAATGCCCTCCAGGTAGGAAAGGAATGAAGGAAATTAGGAAGGAAGGAATGATGACACACTACCATTTACCTAGGATAACTACATAACACAACTGCCTGCTAATACTTTGAAGAAAACTGCTCAGACGAGGTGTTTTGTCTTTGCACATAAAAAAAACTTGCACAAAAATGCACACACACTGATTTTATGTGTGAGGAGTGTAAATCACCATTGTGTATGACACCATGTTTTATGTGTGAGAGTGTAAAACACCACTGCATATGACACCATGTTTTATGTGTAAGAGTGTAAAACACCACTGTGTATGACACCATGTTTTATGTGTAAGAGTGTAAAACACCACTGTGTATGACACCATGTTTTATGTGTAAGAGTGTAAAACACCACTGTGTATGACACCATGTTTTATGTGTAAGAGTGTAAAACACCACTGTGTATGACACCATGTTTTATGTGTAAGAGTGTAAAACACCACTGTGTATGACACCATGTTTTATGTGTGAGGAGTGTAAAACACCACTGTGTATGACACCATGTTTTATGTGTAAGAGTGTAAAACACCACTGTGTATGACACCATGTTTTATTTATGTGTAAGAGTGTAAAACACCACTGTGTATGACACCATGTTTCACAGAGTTCCACAAGCTGCAGAACTTCTAGGAGTATGTTCAGTGACTGTATATTGGTATATATATTATAGAACAATAGTAATAAAAAAATTTTTGTATTGTTTGTTTTTGTAAACAAGTTTTGTAAACAATATATTGATAATTATGTTTGTGTGCTTATTGTGTTGTATACAATGAGTGTATATATGTACATTGCACCTTACTTTGGTCTCATAGGCCACATACGTTATGTGAAAAAATAAAAGTGAAAAAAACAACAAACCTTCAAATACAAATAAACTAAAGTTTACCGGGTGAGCGGCAGTTGCCGTGGCTCATTTTCTGCAAACTTCATGCCTCTATATCTGGGTAAGTACTGATGGGAAATTTTTTTTTTTTGGGACTAAAACAATCAGAAAAATAATCTTAACATTTTCATAAGAAAAAATAATTTTTTTTTTTCGAATATTTTGCGACACCAGGAGACACTTCAGGATTGGGCCTTTCGACAGTCAAAGGTTTAAAAGGAGAAACTTTCGTTTTTCCTTTTGGGCCACCCCACCTCAGTGGGATACGGCTGGTACGTTGAAAGAAAGAAGAAAGAGGTTAACCATAAAACTGATGAAGGAAAAAAGGCGAGTGGTGTATTGAAGTACAGTGGTCCCTCGCTTTTCGTAGTTCTCGGCAATCGTAAATTTCGCCAATCATAGGGGTATTTTCGTAAAAACTTGGACTCGCTTTTCATAGGTTGACTCGCGAATAGTAGTTCGTCCGGGACGCGTACGCACGGTGTGAGCTGGGGCGGCCTCCCTACCCAGCCAGTCTGGCATTGTTTACCAGTGAGTGAAGGTCCCCTCAAGTGCTCCTACAAAATATTTCATAATATTCCATTCATTTTAGTGCTTGTAATTACTAAATAAGCTACCATGGCTCCAAAGAAAGCTCCTAGTGCCAAGCCTGTGGTAAAGAAGGTGAGAAATATGTACAGTGACAAAGTCTTGGGCCATTTTAAGGAAGTGTTAAAGAGACGCCAGAAACAGAGCTCTCTCCACAGTTACTTTGTGAGACAGGACTAGAGTGACTCTCAAGGTGGTCCTAGTGGCATTAAGAAACAGAAGAGAAGCAACCCCAGAGAAGCAATTGGTACCTGAGGTGTTGCTGGAAGGGGATTCCCCTTCCAAACTGTAAACAATCCAATCTCTCTCCTCCTCCAGTCTCCCATACACTAAGAAGAATCTCCAATAAAGGTAAGTGTTATGCTGTTAATGTTTCATTCATCATTTCCCATTGTATTGTTTATGTACTATATGTATATTTCATGTAAAAAAATTTTTTGTTTTAATACTTCTGGGTGCCAGGAACGGATTAATTGTATTTACATTATTTCTTATGGGGAAAATTGATTCGCAAATTGTAAATTTTGTTTATGGTAGCTCCTCCATGAACGGATTAATTACGAAAAACGAGGGACCACTGTACATGTGGAGACAAAAAACATTATCTACAGAGGCAAAGAAGGGAATGAGTGAAATATAGTGGTACCAACACTCTTATATGGGTGTGAAGCTTGGGTTGTAAATGCTGCAGCGAGGAGGCAGTTGGAGGCAGTGGAGATGTCCTGTCTAAGGGCAATGTGTGGTGTAAATATTACGCAGAGAATTCGAAGTGTGGAAATTAGGAGAAGGTGTGGAGTTAATAAAAATATTAGTCAGAGGGCTGAAGAGGGGATGTTGAGGTGATTTGGTCATTTAAAGAGATGGATCAAAGTAGAATGACATGGAAAGCATATAAATCTGTAGGGGAAGGAGAGCGTTGGAGGGAGAGGGTAGAGGTGGTTTTGTGGGTGAAGGGCTTGAACTTCCAGCAAACGTGCATGAGTGTGTTAGGAGTGAATGGAGACAGATGGTTTTTGGGACCTGATGAGCTGTTGGGGTGTGAGCAGGGTAATATTTACTGAAGGGATTCAGGAAAACCGGTTATTTTTATATGGCCGGACTTGAGTACTGGAAATGGGAAGTACAATGCCTGCACTTTAAGGGAGGGGTTTGGGATACTGGCAGTTTGGAGGGATATGCTACATATCTTTATATACGCTTTTAAACTGTTGTATCTGGGCGGCTCTGCAAAGACAGTGATTATGTACGAGTGAGGTGAAAGTGTTGAATGATTATGAAAGTATTTTCTTTTCTGGGGATTTCCTTTCTTTTTGGGTCACCCTGCCTCGGTGAGAGATGGCCAACTTGTTGAAAAAAAAAAAAATTGTATATTAAGTTCAAACTTTTGAAGAGTGGTGGGGTGTGTCGTCTGGCGCTGGAGTTTGTGATTATCCGCACCACCACTTTTTGTTGGGTTATTAAAGGTTTAAAGTGATTGGCCATGGTAGATCCCAAGCACAAATACCATAGGTGAGGTAAAGGTATATCAGAGTGATATAAAGTAAGGAGTGCCCTTTGGGGTACATAGTATCATATCTTGGAAAGGACACCTACTCTTTTGGAAACTTTCTTAGTTATATGCTGGATGTGGGTCTAAAATTTAAAATTACAGTCAAGGTGGAGACTTAGAAATTTGCCCTCAGTGTGTCTTGTATTGGGTGAACCATTTATCGGTATGTTTAGTTGGATATTTAATGCTCTGTTTCCAAAAAGCATGAAGTAGGTTTTGTCTATATTGAAAGTAAGTGTGTTGGTTGTCATCCAGTTTGATATTTTATGTAGCTTACTGTTTACAGAGTTACTAAGTATAGCCAGGTTTGGGTGTGAGAAGACATACGTAGTGTCATCTGTGAACAGAACGTTTTTAAGAAGTCGCGGTGCATTTGGGAGGTCATTGATGTAAATAAGAAAGAGTAGAGGACCTACGACACTTCCCTGTGGCACTCCAACAACTACAGGCTGAGCATTGGAGGTCATGCATATTGAGAGGGAAAAAATAAAAGGTAAGTAAAAAGTTCATTACAATGAGCTACTGCTGGTTGCAATCAGTATGGTGATGCTGACAAACTGTGGGATATGGATACATACAGTTCAGGGTATTTATTAAGGGAAACATTTTGTCATGAGCAGTTCCACCAGACTGATAAAGGCACTTGTGGCAAAATGTGTACTTTAATAAATCTCTTGAACTGTACATAAATGTCTTTATTCCAAGCAAATGCTGTTTGCTTACCTGAGATGCTTCATCAATAATACAAAAATCAAATTTTCGTTTAGAAAAGATCACATGGTTGATTCCCAAGCAGGTAGTAGCGACGACAAGCTGAAAGGAGAAGGAACCTTAAAAAAACAATATCAAGGATGATAATGAATGCGTAATCCAGCTCAAATATTACAAATCACTAATCACCTCATAGATCCATTAACCATACAAAACACAGGGTGGGAAGTTCAAGTACTAGGTATAGTAAATCCTTCTATAAAATGACACTATTGCAGTTCTATCTGATTGAAAAAATTTACCCCCCCCCCTCCTTTTTTTTGCAAAGCAGTTGATAAGGTGTATTCTCTTTTGAAGGTTGTGCTTTTATCACCTAAAACAACTTTAATGCAGCCACTTCCTCAAAGAGTTATTAAGACATTTAAGTCTTTCACTGTCACACAAATCTACTTTAGGAGCCCTGAAATATGCCGAGAGCAGTAAATGTTGGCCTAGACCTGAGAGTGGGTCTGTGCAGTGGGTATGTAAAGTATAAGAATCCTGCTCCTTGTAGTGCATGATAGGACCAGCTAAGCTATGACCTTATGTTTGGTTTAAAATAGCAACTTTGAGGTATATTCTAGGGTGGTTTTCATGGTGTAAGTATGTTTCTTGGTATCAATTGACGATCTTGGTTAGTTTCAGACCAGAAGTGGCTTCAAATAGGCCTCAAAGTGGTAGAAATATTAGATTTTGGTAATTTTCCTGAGGAAGGGTTGGGGCCCTGCTACCATCCTCACTCCAGCCTGTTTTATGGTTATTTACTAGGCCTGCTTCAATTACTGGAATGACCTAAACCACGACCAATCATTCTTGGTTAGATTTTTATTAGCTGAGAAATAGGTTAAAACTGAATTTTTTGTGCAATGATGGATTCAAAATGAAGGGCAACTGTTATCTGAGACGTCTGGGGACATGATTAACAGAGGAAAGGTTACTTTAGTGGCTGGAATGCCTAGTGTTCATTTTGGGCTCTGTTTTTAACCCTTTGACTGTTTTGGTCATATATATACGTCTTACAAGCCAATGTGTTTGATGTATACTCAAAAATTCTAGCAGCTTCAAGTCAAGCAGGAGAAAGCTGGTAGGCCCAAATGTGAGAAAATGGGTCTGTGTGGTCAGTGTGCGTAGTATAAAAAAATCCTGCTGCACACAGCGCATAATGAAAAAAAAACTCCGACCGTGTTTTTGGATTAAAATGCAGACTTTGAGGTGCATTTTTGTATATGACCGGTTGGTCGGAACCGATTTCGGTCGTAAGTCGGATGGTACCTGTAGTATTTATGGTTGTATTCTTGTTTTCTTGGTCTCATTTGATAGAATGGAAACCATATTATAGAAACAGAAGTGATTTTGATTGGTTTTACTATGAAAAGGATCTAGAAATGGAACCCTAAGTGGCAGAAATGTTCGATTTTTGCCAATGTTCAAGAGTAAACAAATGACATTGTTGTCCAATAAATGTCCAACTAGCCATTCTAATACGCAGTCACGAATGGGATGACGTTAATTATACAATCATTACAATATTGCAGTAGTCTGCATAACAATAAATCTTCTATTTTTTGTGTGAATAAAAATTCAAAATAGAAAGCAAGAGTATTATAACAGGGGCCTGAAGATGTGACTGATGAATAGAGAAAATCTTATTTTACTGCCGGGAATGTCTGCATTGTTCATTCTAGACCCTATTCTGAAACTGATATTTTTTAATTTGCATGAAATTGGCCAAATTGCCAATTTCTGACCACTTTATTGGGTAGTTAAAATTGGTAAATGGGCAGTTTCTTGTACTCAATCAACTGAACAAATGGAGTTCTAAAGAAATAGCTATGAGTTTGGTGGACTGGAACAATGAAAATGGCTGAAAATAGGACTCAAAGTGAGAGAAATTGCCGATGCATAAATGTCACCGAGGTCGCTAACTTCGCAAGATCGTAATTCCGTAAGTTTTCCATCAAATTTCGTACTTTTGGCGTCATTATCATCGGAAAAAGATTCTCTATCAGTTCCTAATATTTTTTTTTTTTTCAAATATTTGCAACACCAGGAGACATCAGAATTTGGGGTTGGGACAGTCAAAGGGTTAAATTGAAATTTGTTGAATTTTGTAAAATTTGGCAAATTACCAACTTCTGCAACCCTTCCAGAGTAGTTCAAGCAGATGAATGGGCAGTTTCTTGCACTCAGTCGATAGAATGGAAAGCATACTAGAGAAATAGCCAAGAATTGGATCAGTTTTAGTAATGGAATATACTTAAAACACATCTCAAAGTGGGTGACATCACCAATACGTAAGTTGTGCCCAGACCACCAACTTCATACCTGCATAATTCTGTAAGTTTATTGTGACCCTGACAGGACTTTTAACCCTTAAACGGTCCAAACGTATATATACGTTCACATGCGTAGCGCCCCAAACGTACATATGCGTTTTCTTTGTCATTCATTCAACACTGCCACGATAAGCCTGAGTCACCTAGACATGAGAGAATGGGTGTGCACACTCACTGTGCACCATATTAAAATAATTGGGGATGCCTGGGTACTATATGCTCTTTTTTCCTATTAAAAAAAACTTTTTTTTTCTCAAAAAATTTGGGGCACTATGCGAGTGAACGTATATATACGTTTGGACCATTTAGGGGTTAATTTTGTGGGTCACAACAGATTGGATGGATGAATAGGCATTTTCTTGATTTTGTTTTTTTAACACATCGGCTGTTTCCCACTGAGGCAGGGTGACCCAAAAAGAAAAAAAACTTTCATCACTCAACACTTTCACCATCACTCATACATAATCACTGTCTTTGCAGAGTTGCTCAGATACGACAGTTTAGACGTCCCTCCAAACTGCCAATATCCCAAGCCCCCTTCGTTAACCCCTTAACTGTCCAAACGTAGATCTACATTCTCTCGCCCAGCACTCCGAATATTTTAGAAAAACACAAAAAAATTTTAAATGAAGAGGATATTTTTTACATAAATATATATAAAAAAAAACTCTAGAGTCAGTACTTAGGGATATAAGGCTGCAAAGTCAGCACTTGTCACTCACCTGATGGCAACATAAAGCACTGCCACTTGCAGATGCATTGCCGATGTACTTTTTTCTCATTCTTTTTTTAATTTGGATAATTTTTATGTTCTGATGACAATTTGCAGTAGTTCTTGTGATTTCATAGTTAATATTTGTTCTGACACTAATATTAGGTACTGAAATAGTACTCAAATAGTCAAACAAAGTGACAGGTGAACATTTTCACCTACCTTAGTCACATACTATTGTCTAGAATTATATTTATAGGTCCCAGCAATGTTTTGGATACATTGGAGTATATAATAATAATAAGAAATAATAATAAAATAATAATAATAATAATAATGTTCCCTTGAAGCTTGATGTAAGAGTATGTCACCTATCTTTTCACTCCACTGCTGACAATGGTGACATTTGATGAGCGTGTCTTATCACCCCACTAATAACAGTGGTGACATTTGTTGAGCATCGTCTTATCTTATCTCTCCACTAATGATGGTGGTGACATTTGATGAGCCTTGTTTTATTGGTTTTCACTGTTACACATAAACATGTCTGTCTGTCTGTCTTTCTGTCTGCTTGTGTGTTTCTTTCTGTCTGCTTGTCTCTCGTATCAGAGAGTTGCTCACGAACCGGCTAGGATTATACACGATCATTACCTACAAGCACAGTACAGCACTGTCTAGATTTTTTGGGTTATCCTAGGTAATTTACACTATGTATAATTGTATTTACATATGGGTTCCAGTGAGATAGAGACATATAGACACAGACAGACAGACAGATAGATTGAGATAGACAGAGCCAATCAGCCAGCTGCCAGTTAGCCAGCCTGCTGAAATTACAGTTCCAGAATTGTTTCTTTTTACTTAGGGCATAGGTTATAGGACATTCTGGCAGGATGACATTTTCCTCTTAAAAGGGGAGTCTTAATACAACATGACATCAGTGAATCCTTGGTGTTTGCCACGTTGTTTTCTAGCTGGTGCTCAATGGAACTGGCGCTCCCACAAGGTGCTAAGTGGTCCCAGATTTTTTTAATACAGCGCACACTGAGGGTTAAGACCCATTCTATGCTGACCAGGCATCTTAGGCTTATCGTGCCAAATTTGGATGCAGGAAAAATAAAATGTAGATCTACATTTGGAGCGCTAGAGGTAAGAACGTAGATCTACGTTTGGACAGTTAAGGGGTTAAAGTGCAAGAATTGTACATCCCACTTCCAGGACTTAGTCCAGCTAACCAGTTTCCCTGATATCAATGGATAATACAGGAAGCGTACTAGCAAAACATAGTCAGAAATTGGCTCCAAAATAGGCCTCAAAGTAGGCAAAAATTGCTGTAGCATAGTGCTCCCAGATTTAAACTTCAGCTCCATAAGTATTACATCAAATTCTCCACTATTTTAAAAGATAAAACTTATCACAACATTATATAATATCTCTGAAACTGATGTGCCAGAGTTCTGGTATAAACTTAACATTGTAGATGCACTCAGGTAAATAAGAGCTGTGAAACAAAGCGACTTGATCAACCATAAATGCAGGCTGGAATTAATTATAGCCTATTGCAGTGAATAATTTCTCTGGTTTACTCTCAGTAAGGAGTCAGGTTCAGGAAATTGTGACTCTGGCAAGGACAGACACATAAGGGCTTTGAAGTTATGCATGAACAAGATGTACATAAAGAGTTAGAAGAGGATGATGATGATGAACCACAACTGCACAAGAAATGCTGGAAGAGCTCAATTCCAAGTTGGAAGAGAAGCAAATAATAAAAGAAGATGAGGAAGACCACTCTGAAGATAAAAGAGTTAATATTGCAGATGTTATATGAACAATACCATGTCAATGGTAGGTTGTAGAAATTTTGACTGAAAAGTATCCTGACACGTCTAGAAGCAGGAGTCTGAAGAGGATTTTGGAGCAAGGAATGATACTTTACTATCAGCTGTATAAAATACCACAGTAACAAAAGAGCAGATATATATTCCTGAGCACTTGAGCACTAAAGTGCAATCATCAACTACTGAGAACTCTGCATCTACACTGATACATGAACTACAGCCATCCACTTCAGCCCAGTAAGGCCACATCAACTCTCTCTACACACTTCTATGTCAACAAGCCAACACCACACACATCAGCAGCAGCCCTGACACTACCATTCCCTGCCAAGTGCCAATTATGGCCCTGCCAGCATCACAGACATCACCAGTTGTCCTGCCAATATCACATGTGACACCACTAGATGCCATACCAACACCAACTGTAGCACCACCAGCATCCTTGACATGTTTAGTTGCCCAGCCAACACCACATGTGATACCAGCTGTCCTGCCATCATGTGCAGCACCATCAGCAGTGCAACTACCTTGTCAACACCACATGTGGCACTTCCAAATGTCTCACCAATACTGCATATGGCACCACCAGCAGCTCTGACACTACCAGTTGCCCGGCAAACACATGACCCCACCAGCTGCATTCCTAACACACGTGGCACCGCCAGCACCCCATGATACCACCTACTGCCCTACCAATGAGGATACATGACATTACTTTAAGTTGTGTGATATACTGTACCACTGTACTATCTCCACATTTCCAGGAATATAACATAACACCTTGAAACAACTGTGATATGATGACATTTCTCTGTACATAGTGTTGGAAGACAAAAACAACCATTAGAAAAAAAGATGAAAGATCTGTAGAAATGAATTTATAGTGAATATTAAAATTGTGGATATAGTGCAATATTTTCTCTACCCATTTCCAGCATTAAAATAATGAAAAATATCTGTTACCATTATAAAATGTTGCATATAGTCTTAGATACTGAAAAAAATTTAAGACATACATAATTCTCTAAAACAAACAAAAACTACTACATACTAAAATTACAACTATTCTGACAACTTTAACACTCCATTAATCAGCAATTTGATATGATTTTTTTCTCTTATTCAACTTAGAAAAATAAACACTAAAATTCTGCCATACCACCAGCACCTTTTTCCCCGGTCAGCATGGTTTAAGTTTAAAATAAAGGAGATACATGATATCACAATATAATATGAAGATTAAAAAGACCACAAACAAAAATTTTATACTGTACCTACCTTACTTTCATAAAATTCAGAAAATGAAGAAACACTTTTAAATTTTTGGGTAACTATTTCATCAGCATGTGATCGCAAATCTGGGTGAATGCGTGATAATCGCCCAAGACGAAGAAAATCAACATCATACATCTGAAAAAAAGAATGATTAGCTTATAAGAGACAAGAAACAGAAATTATATCTTTAAGTAATGAACTGTTACCTGTCTGCACATTATCTGTCTGAACAACAGTGTTAATTATGACAATTAGTATACGTACCTTTATTCCAGTCAATCTTGCATTTTGTTATTAATCCAATATTTTTTATATTTAGCTTTATAAACATATCAACAGTGAAGGACTAGTAATGCGTTTTCATTTAGTAACAACAACACAATGCTATGACACAATGTAATGAATCACTACCACATAACTTAGCAAAACCATCAATATACATGTTCCCCTCGCTTTATATGGGTTCAGTTTATGTTAATTCACTATTATGTGACATTTCATATCTACTGGTAATTTCACAGATGTTCAATACATTCACTGTATATGATTGGTGTGATTAGCAAAACAAACTGAAGATTCTTATTATGAGGCATTAAGTGAAGATGGCATAAGTTAGCTCAGGACAGTACAGCTGACATGGACCTAGAATGCCTTTACTGCATCAAGTGAGGATACCTTTCAAGGCAAATATCTATAGTACTCTGTACTGTATGTAAAGAACTATTGTAATCAAATACATGACAGAATTGACAGACTGACATTTAATTTCATAAATTAGGACAAGTGAAGATGTTGCAGTGTGGAGGGCCATCTGAATTGTGTCAGCATGCATCTGGCTAAACTGGGATTGACTGAATGAGGGTGAATGTATTTGCTCCTGTTTTTGAGTTACCCAGCTTCAGTAGAAAACAGCTGGTGAATTAAGTAAAAAACTGAGGTATCAACATGCATGCATGCTGGACTTGGTGCAAGACTTACAATTTTCATTATTATGATATAGCAAAGAATTTTTAAACCCACAGAGCAGATTATTGAATAAAAAAAACTGTCCAGTTTAAATAATCAAGGTCTGACATTCAGAGACTGCTGGGCATCATAACAAGCAGAAGATTCAAGTACCTATACTGCATTCTAAATATAATATGCAAGGAAACAGTACTGTACTCTGGCTAGATCCCAATCAACTTTATGACCCATATTCCTCCCTCACTTTCTTTTTTTTTTTAAACACGACGGCTGTCTTCCATCGAGGCAAAGTGACCCAAGGAAGAAAAACACTTTCACCATCATTTACACAACATCATTGTCTTTGCAGAGGCACCCAGATATGACAGTTTAGATGTCATTCCAAATAGCAAAAATCCCAAACCCACCTCCAGGACTCAAGTCTGGCTAACCGGTTTCCCTGAATTCCTTCACAAAATATTACCCTACTCACACTCCAACAGCTCATCAGCTTCCAAAAACTATTTGTCTCCATTCACTCCTATCTAACATCTTCACACATGCCTGCTGCATGTCCAGGCCCCTTGCATACAAAACCTCTTTTATTCCCTCCCTCCATCCTTTCCTAGGATGACCCCTACCCCTCCTCCCCTCCACTACATATTTATACACCCTCCAAGTCAACCCATTTTGCTCCAGTCTCTCTAAATGACCAAACCACCTCAACAACCCCTCCTCAGTCCTCTGAATAATACTTTTAGTAATTCCACACCTAATCTCCAAATTATGAATTCTCTGCATAGTATTTATGCCTCACATTGCCCTCAGTATTACATCTCCACTGTACCCAGCCTCCTCTTCACTGCAACATTTATAACCCATGTTTCACACCCATATAAGAGTGTTGGTACCACTATACACTCATACATTTCCCTCCTTTCCTCCACTGATAAGGGTGTCTCCACAGATACCTCAGAGTACCATCCATCTTTTTCCCTTCATTAATTCTATGGTTTACCTCTTCTTTCATATACCCATCCATTGATACGTCCACTCCCAAACATCTGAGCACATTCGTTTCTTCCACATTCCTTCCCTCCAGTCTGATATTCAATTTTTCATTATCTAACTCGTTTGATACCCTCATCGCTTTACTCTTATCTATGTTCACTTTCAACTTTCTTCCTTTACACACACTCCCAAACTCATCTTCTAACCTTTGCAACTTCTCTTCAGAATCTCCCAAAAGCACAGTGGTGTCATCAGCAAAAAGTAACCATGCTAACTCCCATTTTGTATTAGACTCTGCATATTTTAATCTTGCCCCTCTCTCCAACACCCCAGCATTTACTTCTTTTACAACCCCGTCTACAAATGTTCTCCATGGGGAAGTGGAACAGAATTCTTCCTCCGTAAGCCATGCGTGTTGTAAGAGGCGACTAAAATGCCGGGAGCAAGGGGCTAGTAACCCCTTCTCCCGTATAAATTACTAAATTTAAAAGAGAAACTTTCATTTTTCTTTTTGGGCCACCCTGCCTTGGTGGGATACGGCCAGTGTGTTGAAAGAAAGATCTACAAATGTTAAACATGGTGACATCATGCATAAAATAAATGCACACATAGTAGTAATGCATATGGTAAAAAGTTTGAAAACATGTCCTATATTAACCCCTTAACCGTCCAAATGTAAATCTACGTTCACTCAACCAATGCTCCAAATATTTGGGGGGGGGGGATTGTTTTTAAATGAAGGACATTTTTTTTTTACATAATGTAAATAAAAAATTCTAGAATCAAAACTTATGAAGACATAAGGCTGCAAAGTCAGTGCTTGTTGCTCACTTGACAGCAACATGAAGCGCTGCTGCTTGCAGAAGTGTTGCCGATATACCTTTTCTCATTTGTTTTTTAAATTGTATAATTTTTATGTTCTAATAATTACAATTTGTAGTAGTTCTTGTGATTTCATAGTTAATCTTCGTTCTGATTTAGTACTGATACAGTGGGCCCCTGGATTAAGACGTCATCGGATTAAGCAACATTTTTGCATCAAAATATTGGCTCAGTTAATGACACTGAACTTGGTAAAAGTCATTCGTCCTGAATGTGTCCATGCGCCGTGAGCGGCCCGAACACTTCACGTACAGCCAGTGTGTCACTGTTTACCAGTCAATGAGGATGATTCCATGCATACACGCGATACATTTTGTATTATTTCATTGTTTTTAGTTTTTAGTTAAGAACGATAATAAATTTGTTGAGTTAGGCATAAGAATTAACAACTGGGCGTCTCCACTGCAAACTGAATTGTTTGCAATCCTAATGGCGCTAAAGCTAACCTATGACACTGAGCTTGACTCTATCATCATTACTGATTCTATGTCATCATTGAAGGCTCTTGGCTCATATAATGACTCCAACAACATGCTCATTGGGGAAGCCAGGTATAGATACTCAAAAATTAGGGACAAAGGAATTAATGTACAATTGCTATGGATCCCATCACACATTGGATTACTCCTTCATGATAAAGTTGATATGTTAGCCAAGAAGAGTATCCAGAAGGAGAACGTAGAACATAACTTTGGTATAACTGTGTCTAGCATTAGGAATAATATTAGGAGAGAAGTAAATAATGAAGATGATTGTTATAGGAATGCAGTTAGAAGCCTGAGTAGATCTATAACCCACTATGATAACATGAACGTAGATAAGTATGTTTATGGAGCAACTTGCAATGTGAACAGACTGACTGATGTTGTAGTGGCCAGGCTTAGGCTTGGTTACAAGTACTTCTGGCAGTTTGGGAGACACACAGATGATGATCAAACTAAATGTAAATTATGTGATCAGGCATATGGTCACTCTCTTGAACACTATGTGCTTTTTGTCCACTTATTGAGGAATACAGAGACAGACAGTATAATAACCTATGTGACATGTCAAGATATCTTATTAATGAAAATAAGATACCAGATATACTAAGCAAATTTCCTAAATTTGCTTGTAACAGATAAGTGAACTATAGATATGTAGATATAAATCCATATGTATTCCTGTTAACCCTTTGGGGCCTAGTTCCTAGGCCTTTTGTGTATCCACATGCTCTCGCGCTACCGTCCACAGGATGGATAAGGGGTGCACAATAAACTAGCCACTTCGGTGGCAAAATCTAAATCTTAGTGCTTGTAACTGCTTGTAACTGCATGGGGCCAAAGAAAGCTTCTAGTGCCAGCCCTTTGGTAAAGAGGGTGAGAAACATTATAGAATTCAAGAAAAAGTTTGTAGAAAAATACGAAAGTGGTGGTGGTAGAGGGTGGTAGTGATGGTGGTAGAGGGAGGTAGTATGGGCCAACAGGTCTGCTGCAGTGTTCCTGCTTTCTTATGTACACCAGCCAGGGTACTTCTCCACACACCAGCCAGGGTACTTCCCCCCCACACACCAGCCAGGGTACTTCCCCCCCACACACACCAGCCAGGGTACTTCCCCCCCACACACCAGCCAGGGTACTTCCCCCCACACACCAGCCAGGGTACTTCCCCACACACACCAGCCAGGGTACTTCCCCACACACACCAGCCAGGGTACTTCCCCATACACACCAGCCAGGGTACTTCCCCACACACACCAGCCAGGGTACTTCCCCATACACACCAGCCAGAGTACTTCCCCATACACACCAGCCAGGGTACTTCCCCACACACACCAGCCAGGGTACTTCCCCACACACACCAGCCAGGGTACTTTCCCACACACACCAGCCAGGGTACTTCCCCACACACACCAGCCAGGATACTTCCCCACACACGATTTGATTTGACTGGGACTTGCGCACGAGTGAATAGAATTATCAAAGCTTATTGGTTGGGAAGCATTGAAAATTGGGTTGGGCAAATACGATTCTGTTAGTGGGATGGTTTGTGAAGGACATGTCTAGTATAGGCGAACAGGCCTGCTGCAGTGTTCCTGCTTTCTTATGTGCAAACATTTATGGATGATCATCATCCTGACACAGCTGTTGCAGGCCATGCTGGCAACATCTACAATGACAAAGTTGTGTCCCATTTTAGGGAAATCTTACAGAGATGCCAGAAACAGAGCTCTCTGGACAGGTATTTTGTGCAACAGGGTTCCAGTGACTCTGAAGCTGGTCCTGGTGGCATTAAAAAACAAAAAAGGGAAGTAACCCCAGATAAGGACTTGGTATCTAGAGTCTTTATGGAAGGGGATTCCCTTCCAAACAATAGTACACCTCCATCCTCTCCCCTCCTCCCATCTCATCAATCATTAATAAGTCTTCAATAAAGGTAAGTGTCATTTTAGTAAAGTTTTACTCTGCATGTCTCATTGTTTTCTGTGTAGGGAAATGTACATTCATGTAAAAAAATTATTTTGTTTAATACTTTTGAGAGTCTGGAATGGATTAATTGGATTTCCATTATTTCTCATGGGGAAAATTAATTTGGATTAAGTTAGATTCAGTATAAGACACTCTCTGGAACGGATTAATTATGTTATCCGGGGCTCCACTGTAGCACTGAAATAGTCACAAACACAGTGACAGGTGAACATTTTTACCTACCTTAGTCACATACTACTGTCTAAAAATATTTTTTTTTTATTATTATCACACTGGCTGATTCCCACCAAGGCAGGGTGGCCCGAAAAAGAAAAACTTTCACCATCATTCACTCCATCACTGTCTTGCCAGAAGGGTGCTTTACACTACAGTTTTTAAACTGCAACATTAACACCCCTCCTTCAGAGTGCAGGCACTGTACTTCCCTTCTCCAGGACTCAAGTCCGGCCTGCCGGTTTCCCTGAACTCCTTCATAAATGTTACTTTGCTCACACTCCAACAGCACATCAAGTATTAAAAAACATTTGTCTCCATTCACTCCTATCAAACACGCTCACGCATGCCTGCTGGAAGTCCAAGCCCCTTGCACACAAAACCTCCTTTACCCCCTCCCTCCAACCTTTCCTAGGCCGACTCCTACCCCGCCTTCCTTCCACTACAGACTGATACACTCTTGAAGTCACTCTGTTTCGCTCCATTCTCTCTACATGTCCGAACCACCTCAACAACCCTTCCTCAGCCCTCTGGACAACAGTTTTGGTAATCCCGCACCTCCTCCTAACTTCCAAACTACGAATTCTCTGCATTATATTCACACCACACATTGCCCTCAGACATGACATCTCCACTGCCTCCAGCCTTCTCCTCGCTGCAACATTCATCACCCATGCTTCACACCCATATAAGAGCGTTTGTGAAACTATACTCTCATACATTCCCCTCTTTGCCTCCAAGGACAAAGTTCTTTGTCTCCACAGACTCCTAACTCTAGAAATGTATACGTACTTAGTATTTATAGGTGCCAGTAATGTTTTGGATATGCGGGAGTATATAATAATAATAGTAATAATAATAATAATAATAATAATAATAATAATGAGTTCCCTTGAAGCAGGATATAAGGCATGTGTCACTCCACTGCTGACAATGCAGCTAATGATGACATGTGATTAGCTTAGACTGCCTTCACTTCGTTTGTTTTCACTGTTACAAATAAACATGTCTGTCTCTCTGTCTAGTTCTCTGTATCTGTCTAGCTCTCTGCCTGCCTGTGTGTGTCTGTGTCTGCTTGTCTGTCTCGGAGAGTTGCTCATGAACCAACTGGTATTACACATGATCACATCTGCTGCCTGAATAAGTGAAAATGTGTATTACTTCCTTGGTAGTAGGTTGGTAGACAGCAACCACCCAGGGAGGTACTACCATCCTGCCAAGTGAGTGTAAAATGAAAGCCAGTAATTGTTTTACATGATGGTAGGATTGCTGGTGTCTTTTTCTGTCTCATAAACATGCAAGATTTCAGGTACGTCTTGCTACTTCTACTTACACTTAGGTCACACTACACATACATGTACAAGCATATATATACACACCCCTCTGGGTTTTCTTCTATTTTCTTTCTAGTTCTTGTTCTTGTTTATTTCCTCTTATCTCCATGGGGAAGTGGAACAAATTCTTCCTCCGTAAGCCATGCATGTTGTAAGAGGCGACTAAAATGCCGGGAGCAAGGGGCTAGTAAAATCTTCTCCTGTATAAATTACTAAATTTAAAGAGAGAAACTTTTGTTTTTCTTTTTGGGCCACCCTGCCTTGGTGGGATACGGCCGGTTTGTTGAAAGAAGAAAGTGTATTACTTGACAGTTGCCAGTCATGTTTATTATGAATTATATCTACGAACAGTATAGCACATTGTCAGGATGTTTTTGGGTTATCCTAGGTAATTTACACTATGTATAATTGTATTTAATAAATGTATGGAAGAGGGTAAGGTACCTAGGGATTGGCAGAGAGCATGCATAATTTCTTTGTATAAAGGCAAAGGGGACAAAAGAGTGCGCAAAAATTATAGGGGGATAAGTCCGTTGAATATACCTGGTAAAGTGTATGGTAGAGTTATTATTGAAAGAATTAAGAGTAAGACGGAGAATAGGATAGCAGATGAACAAGGAGGCTTTAGGAAAGGTAGGGGGTGTGTGGACCAGGTGTTTACAGTGAAACATAAGTGAACAGTATTTAGATAAGGCTAAAGTGGTTTTTGTGGCATTTATGGATTTGGAAAAGGCGTATGACAGCGTGGATAGGGGGGCAATGTGGCAGATGTTGCAGGTGTATGGTGTAGGAGGTAGGTTACTGAAAGCAGTGAAGAGTTTTTATGAGGATAGCGAGGCTCAAGTTAGAGTATGTAGGAAAGAGGGTGATTATTTCCCAGTAAAAGTAGGCCTTAGACAAGGATGTGTGATGTCACCGTGGTTGTTTAATATATTTATAGATGGGGTTGTAAGAGAAGTAAATGCGAGGGTCTTGGCAAGAGGCGTGGAGTTAAAAGATAAAGAATCACACAAAGTGGGAGTTGTCACAGTTACTCTTTGTTGATGACACTGTGCTCTTGGGAGATTCTGAAGAGAAGTTGCAGAGGTTGGTGGATGAATTTGGTAGGGTATGCAAAAGAAGAAAATTGAAAGTGAATACAGGAAAGGGTAAGGTTATGAGGATAACAAAAAGATTAGGTGATGAAAGATTGGATATCAGATTGGAAGGAGAGAGTATGGAGGAGGTGAATGTATTCAGATATTTGGGAGTGGACGTGTCAGCGGATGGGTCTATGAAAGATGAGGTGAACCAGAGAATTGATGAGGGGAAAAGCGTGAGTGGTGCACTTAGGAGTCTGTGGAGACAAAGAACTTTGTCCTTGGAGGCAAAGAGGGGAATGTATGAGAGTATAGTTTTACCAATGCTCTTATATGGGTGTGAAGCATGGATGATGAATGTTGCAGCGAGGAGAAGGCTGGAGGCAGTGGAGATGTCATGTCTGAGGGCAATGTGTAGTGTGAATATAATGCAGAGAATTCGTACTTTGGGAGTTAGAAGGAGGTGCGGGATTGCCAAAACTGTTGTCCAGAGGGCTGAGGAAGAGTTGTTGAGGTGGTTCGGACAGGTCAGAAAATGGAGCGAAACAGAATGACTTCAAGAGTATATCAGTCTGTAGTGGAAGGAAGGCGGGGTAGGGGTCGGCCTAGGAAAGGTTGGAGGGAGGGGGTAAAGGAGGCTTTGTGTGCGAGGGGCTTGGACTTCCAGCGGGCATGCGTGAGCGTGTTTGATAGGAGTGAATGGAGACAAATGTTTTTTAATACTTGACGTGCTGTTGGAGTGTGAGCAAAGTAACATTTATGAAGGGATTCAGGGAAATCGGCAGGCCGGACTTGAGTCCTGGAGATGGGAAGTACAGTGCCTGCACTCTGAAGGAGGGGTGTTAATGTTGTAGTTTAAAAACTGGAGTGTAAAGCACCCTTCTGGCAAGACAGTGATGGAGTGAATGATGGTGAAAGTTTTTCTTTTTCGGGCCACCCTGCCTTGATGGGAATCGGCCAGTGTGTTGATAATAAGAATAATAATAAAGTATGTGTTTCTGTGAGACAGAGACAGATACAGAGAGAGATAGATACAGACAGACGGAGACAGATACAGACGGAGCTAGATACAGACAGACAGATGGAGATAGAGACAGCCAATCAACCAGCCAGCCTGCCAAACACATATTACACGTTTCAAAATTGTTTCTTTTTACTTAGGGTATAGGTTATAGAACATTCTGGCAGACTGACATTATCAGTGGTACCAAAATTGAAGGGGTGTTGCAGAAATGTTGCAAATGGGTTATTATCAAGGTTATTTGATATTTCCGTGATCACTTGTGGCCACATCCACCTCAAGGCCACTAAATTCGGGGTCAACATCACTTTCCTCTTAAAAGGGGAGTGTTAATACGACATGACATCAGTGAATCCTTGGTGTTTGCTCCAGCTGCGCACACCGAGGGTTAAGACCCATTCTATGCTGACCAGGCATCTCAGGCCAATCATGCCAAATTTTTCAGGCAGGAAAAATAAAACAGATCTACGTTTGGAGCACTAGCAGTAAGAATGTAGATTTATGTTTGGACAGTTAAGGGGTTAAGCAACTAAAGATTAAGGCTTTTACGTGATTAAATGGGTCCAAAGTACCAACGTTATAAATGCAAAATACTTTAAGTCAAGACCATACGGTACTTAACACTCCTTAATTTAAGAAATAAACAGCATTTTAATATTGAAAAAATATGAATTACTTACTCTGAGTTTTAATAATATGTTATCAACAGCTGAGTGTGTGTAGCTAGTGAGAAGCACAGACAATCCCTGTGTAACCATCAGCCGAACCAAAGCAACAATGATGGAGGTTTTGCCTGTTGAAAGAAAAAAATTAGCTGATGATAGAACAAATGGCAACAAGAAATTAACCCTAAAAAGCCAGCCATAAAATTTTTCAAAAGTCTGCTCAATATTTTCTTATGAATCTCATTTTTTTTTTTTTTAACACACTGGCCATCTCCCAAAAAAGAAGAAACACTTTATACCATCACCCACACCATCACTGTCTTGCCAGAGGGGTGGTGATACTACAATTCAAAACTGCAAATATTCCCACCCTTCCTTCAGAGTGCAGGCAGTGTACTTCCCATTTCCAGGACTTAACTCCAGCTAACTGGTTTCCTTGAATCCCTTCTAAATATCCAAACCACCTCAACCCCTATTCAGCCCTCTGGACAAAATTTTTAGTAACCCTGCACCTAATCTTCAAGCAATGAATTCTCAGCATAATATTCACACCACACATTGCCCTCAGACCTAAGTCCACTGCAGTGGAGAGAAGAAAATTACTGCACTGTGAAATACAGGTGAGGATGCTTAAGTTTGGTGGGCCATCATTGTACCATGATATCTTACAGAGGGGCAGTTAATAAGCAAGTGATGGTGGGGAAATGTGGAGCCAGAGCTTGAAGTATTAAACTGGAAATTAAGTTCTAATAAGACTACAGAAGATTGTAATATTGTAAGCTTTATCAAAAATGTAAGATATTGTCTTACTGATATCTATTTTTTATCAATAATAAAGTTTAATAAAAAAAAATTGAATTGTTGGTTATCCATCAAAGTACTGTATTAACACATTATGAACACTTCAATCTGTATTACTAATCTCAGTAAACTAAAGAAAATGTGAATAATGCCAAACTGAGTCTTGACTTTTTTTTTTTTTTTTTTTTTTTTTTTTTTTTTTTTTTTTTAAGATTTACATTTAGGCTCATTCAGTGTTTCCCAGACCATATTTCTGAAATTCATCACTGGAAGGCAGTTGAATAGTCTTGGACCCCTGATGCTTACTGTGTTGTCTCTTAGCTTACACGGGGCACCCCTGCTTTTCACTGGGGGCATGTTGCATCTCCTATGAAAGCAAAAGACTTGGCTGGAAATACAACATCCCCCCCAGTGAAAAGTAGGGGCACTAAGAGTATGCTAAGGGACAACACAATAAGTGTCAAGAGCCCAAGACTGTTCAATTGCCTCCCAGCATACATAAGGGAAATTATCAACAGCCCCTGTCTTCAAGAAGTCACTAGACAGGCACCTAAAGTAATTACCTGAGCAGCCGGGCAGTGGCTCATACGTCACTTTACATGAGGCCAGCAGTAACAGCCTAGCTGATTAGGTCCTGCTCCACCATGAGGCCTGGTCACGGACTGGGCCACAGGGGCATTGACCCCCAAAACTCCCTCCAGGTAATATTCACATTTGTAAGAAATAATGACCATCAAGCCAGAAAAAAATTAGGTAATTGAATTTATTTGCTGGTATAAACACTGGAAGACAGAAACCTATGAATAAGAACCTGCAAATTTTGTATGGATAACCAAACTTCTTGTATTAAAAAATGTATTTAATTATGTTATTTACCTATTGTGGCTCCCAGAAGTAAACAAAATAAAGAACACTCATGATCAAAAACTATTTTCAAGATTCTTGGTTTAGAAACACTACCATGATGTCTTGGAGATATGATTTTTGTTTACCTGTTCCTGGGTAACCCTTGAGCAAGCTATAGCTCTCAGCCATGAGGGTTTTCAGAACTGCTCGTTGTTGTGTCTTGTTCAAGGCCTTAATGATGTGTTTACCCTTGAAGACAACCTCTTTGGAAAGGCCTTGCTTGAAAGATGGAAGATTTCTAAAAAATACATAAATAAATGGATTTAGCAATAAGATTATAAAATGTAACAATTACTTTAAAATGAACTTTAAAAATTAACAATGGAATACGAGTGAAAAAATAAGTAAACAAGTAGTGAGGAAAAAACTATTCAGAAGGGGGTTGCCTTGATACTGCATTTGTCTTTTTTCAAATACTGAAGGTTCTGAAAATGCCCTTCTTAGTCAGAAAATATAAGATAATTATATACAAGTTCCTAACTTCCCTAACCAAATAAAGAAAAAGTAAAAATGGTTTCAACTAGTAAAAAATAAAATTTTATATTTACCTATCAATTAACAAAGCCCTAAGATGTGCAGCCTGAGGAGTGTCCATCAGCAGCTTTGCTAGGTTAGTGAAATTTATGCACATTGTATTCTGGTATTCACATCGATCCACGTGAAATTGTTTTTTATGCCAGTTGGAGTATAATTTTAAATCCCTGTGACAAAATAGAAAAATTAGGCAATTAAAGGTACTAATATCAATATAATTGTTCACACCACCTTTACTTGATTGAATGTCACTCCTTTGTGTTGCTGTTACATTCAAGCTACTGTCACCTAATTTTTTATTACATTTTCTGCACCTATATATAACCCTTTTAATCTCTCACTTTTCTGTTTTCTATGCTGTCTTCCTTATTTTACATTTATGTTTTTAATAACCCTTAAATGCTCCTCTATCTTATGGATCATATCTGTGGAAATTTTGGTTTAAGTATTTTAGTTTTTGGCACTCCTTTCAGGTGTACTAGTGGTTTCTCAAACTGTACAGTTTTTCTATTCACCATCCAACACCTTGAATACTTTAAGAGTCATGCCAGAACCAGCAATTTCTTATACTGATTTTGTGTATACATGCTAATTTTTTTTTTTTTAAACACTCCAGCCACCTCCCACAGAGATCAAGTGACCCGACAAAGAAGAAAACACACACTCGTCACTCAATTCACTATTTTGCCAGAAGTGCAATGACATTACAGCTCAGATGACCCACAACACCCCTACCTGCATACTAAACAGTGAAATTATTTTTTATAATTAACAGCCATACATGATACCACCTATAGCAAGTGGCTTGTGTATATATCATTTGCTTAAATTAAATGCACATACATACATTGAAGGCTCTCCATGGGGAAGTGGAACAGAATTCTTCCTTCGTAAGCCATGTGTGTCGTACAAGGCGACTAAAATGCCAGGAGCAAGGCGCTAGTAACCCCATGTTCTGTATACATTACTAAAGTTAAAAAGAGAAACTTTTGTTTTTCTTTTTGGGCCATCCAGTTTCAGTGGGATACGGCTGTTGCATTGAGAGAAGAAAGAAGACATCGAATGCTCAAATTATCATATACACACCTGTGGGCTGTCAGCAAGTGCACTGTTTTTTAAAACTTTTTCTCAAATTTCTTTTTTTTTTTTTTTTTTTTTTTCAACAAGTCGGCCGTCTCCCACCGAGGCAGGGTGACCCAAAAAAAAGAAAGAAAATCCCCAAAAAGAAAATACTTTCATCATCATTCAACACTTTCACCACACTCACACATTATCACTGCTTTTGCAGAGGTGCTCAGAATACAACAGTTTAGAAGCATATACGTATAGAGATACACAACATATCCCTCCAAACTGCCAATATCAAATTTCTTGCCTTTATAAATTGTTGGATGAAATAAATCACTCAGTCATCTTAATTCATTTTTCTTATTGCCACTTCTGCACCAGCCACACTTGTTACATCTGCTCTCTTCCCTTCCCCTCCCTCAAAGGAGTATACTCTTTCAGATTACACAGCTAAGAAAGAATACATACCTGTCTAATACAACTTTGACAGACGCTTCTTCAAAAGCAAATATGACTCCTAAGCTAAGAGCAATCTCTGTCTCCGATGACACAACAACATTATCACCAATCTGTAATGAGTCGGTAAACAAACACAATATTAATACTGGATAAAAAGGCAAACTACTGACAGTGATAAGAAAAAAAGACAGTTGCAAAGCAAGTTTTTATTGTGATGGTTGGCTCTACGTAGAGCACTGATAAAGCTTTACAGAGCAAAATGTCACACCTTTGTGTTCATCACAATATTGTTACAGTGGACCCCCGGTTCGCGATGCTATTGGTATCCGATAAATCCGGTAACCGATGCATTACATCGCCAAAAATTTGCCTCGGTTCCTGTTAAAAACCCGGTATGTGATACGATTCGTAAGAGACATGTCCAGTGTTTACAAGCCAGCCAGTGTGCGCGCTTCTAAGGATACATTCGGTACATTCCATATCATCCATATTATCACTGTTTTTGGTGCTTGTTTCTGCAAAATAAGTCACCATGGGCCCCAAGAAAGCTTCTAGTGCCAACCCTTCAAGACCAAGGGTGCTAATGACTATTGAAATGAAGAAAGAGATAATTGCAAAGTATGAAAGTTGAGTGTGTGTATCGGAGCTGGTCAAGTTGTATAGTAAACCCCAATCAACCATCTCAACTATAATGAGCAGGAAAACGGCAATCAAGGAAGCTGTTCTTGCAAAAGGTGCAACTGTGATTACGAAACTGCGACCGCAAGTGTTAGAAAATGTTGAGAGACTGTTATTGGTGTGGATAAATGAAAAACAGATAGCAGGAGATAGCATCTCTCAAGCGATCATTTGTGAAAAGGCTAGTCAGTTGCATGACGATTTGGTAAAGAAATTGCCTGCAACTAGTGGTGATGTGAGTGAATTTAAGGCCAGCAAAGGTTGGTTTGAAAGATTTAAGAATCGTAGTGGCATACATAGTGTGATTAGGCATGGTGAAGCTGCCAGTTCAGACCAAAAAGCTGCTGAAAAATATGTGCATGAATTCAAGGAGTACATAGAGGCTGAAGGATTGAAACCTGAACAAGTGTTTAATTGTGACAAAACAGGCCTGGTTTGGAAGAAATTGCCAAGCAGGACCTACATTACTCAGGAGGAAAAGCTACCGCAAGTCCTAATGGAGGGGGATTCCCCTTCTAAACAATAGGTTCAACACACTCCCCTCCTCCCATCCCATCAATCATCACCAGATCTTCATTAAAGGTAAGTGTCAATTATTCTATTGTTATTATTCTGTTATTGTTGTTATTGTAATTATTCTATTGCATTAAACTTAATATTTCATGTGGCAAAAGTTTTTTTTCATACTTTTGGGTGTCTTGCACGGATTAATTTGATTTCCATTATTTCTTATTCTGAAGAGAAGTTGCAGAGATTGGTGGATGAATTTGGTAGGGTGTGCAAAAGAAGAAAATTAAAGGTGAATACAGGAAAGAGTAAGGTTATGAGGATAACAAAAAGATTAGGTGATGAAAGATTGGATATCAGATTGGAGGGAGAGAGTATAGAGGAGGTGAATGTATTCAGATATTTGGGAGTGGACGTGTCAGCGGATGGGTCTATGAAAGATGAAGTGAATCATAGAATTGATGAGGGGAAAAGGGTGAGTGGTGCACTTAGGAGTCTGTGGAGACAAAGAACTTTGTCCTTGGAGGCAAAGAGGGGAATGTATGAGAGTATAGTTTTACCAACGCTCTTATATGGGTGTGAAGCATGGGTGATGAATGTTTGCAGCGAGGAGAAGGCTGGAGGCAGTGGAGATGTCATGTCTGAGGGCAATGTGTGGTGTGAATATAATGCAGAGAATTTGTAGTTTGGAAGTTAGGAGGAGGTGCGGGATTACCAAAACTGTTGTCCAGAGGGCTGAGGAAGGGTTGTTGAGGTGGTTCGGACATGCAGAGAGAATGGAGCGAAACAGAATGACTTCAAGAGTGTATCAGTCTGTAGTGGAAGGAAGGCGGGGTAGGGGTCGGCCTAGGAAAGGTTGGAGGGAGGGGGTAAAGGAGGTTTTGTGTGCGAGGGGCTTGGACTTCCAGCAGGCATGCGTGAGCGTGTTTGATAGGAGTGAATGGAGACAAATGGTTTTTAATACTTGATGTGCTGTTGGAGTGTGAGCAAAGTAACATTTATGAAGGGGTTCAGGGAAACCGGCAGGCCGGACTTGAGTCCTGGAGATGGGAAGTACAGTGCCTGCACTCTGAAGGAGGGGTGTAAATGTTGCAGTTTAAAAACTGTAGTGTAAAGCACCCTTCTGGCAAGTCAGTGATGGAGTGAATGATGGTGAAAGTTTTTCTTTTTCGGGCCACCTGCCTTGGTGGGAATCAGCCAGTGTGATAATAAATAAAAAAAATATTTCTTATGGGGAAAATTGATTCACTTTCCGATAATTTTGGTTTACAATGAGCTCTCAGGAATGGATTAATATCGCGAACCGGGGGTCCACTGTACTGTTGTGCAATGAGTGAGGTGAAAAAGTTGAATGATGATGAAAGTATTTTCTTTTTGGGGATTTTCTTTCTTTTTTGGGTCACCCTGCCTCAGTGGGAGATGGCCAACTTGTTTAAAAAAAAAAAAAAAAAGACTTTTGCCCGTTATATGTCCGATTGTGGTTCCAGGGAGCCTCACCTTAACAGCTTCATCTTGGATGAGACCTCCTTAATTTTACAAGACACAAAAAAGTAAAAGTGTATACTGAATGTAAATAAAAGTTTGTAAGATGCACCTGCCATTGTACACATTCATCAGACAGAAAGAAAAGATCAGCATCTAACAGAATGGTAGTACCTCCATGGATGGTTGCTGTCTATCAACCTACTACCTACCTGTCATGAGTGTGAAATAGAAGCCTGTTAAATATTTTGCACTTGGCAGGATTGCTTGTCCTCTCATGTTTTATGTCTCATGAACATGTAAAATGACAGGAAAATTTGTATTCACATTCAATATACACTTAACCTTGCTCTTCTCTTTAATTCTTATTCCCTGTAATATTTACTTTTACTATTTATGTGGCTGCATCTGATAATGGAATACAGAAACAATGATCCTGGAACAATTAACAATATGAGTATAGAATAGATAAACAGCTAAATTAGGTATGTATGTTCTAATATAAAGTAATTTAAAAAATGTATATTGATAGCACTAAAAATTGTGAATTTGAAAATATTTTCATATGGATTCTGCAATGTTAAAGCATGTTTTTGCCCATTTTCTACAAAATTCATCTTTAAGACAATAAAATGAACATTATTTTGTGTTAACCACTTTTACTCTATCTGAGAAAAATACCTGTAGGCCAACAGTAGGCAGTTTGGTGGAACTAGGATGAGTAGGAGACCTGGCAAAAGAATGGACAAACTGGCCTGCTTCTACTTCACTCACAGTCACTGCACTTTCCAAAACAAGCCAGGATAAGCAGTCTCCACTTGATTCTCTGAGAAAGGAAAGCTGATTTACAATGCAACATTTGTACCCTCACATCAAAGATATGTATGAAGCATTTACAACAGTAAGCACAAACTTTATCTCCTAACCATGGGAAAATAACTTGCTCATCACTTGTCTCCATTCCCTCCTGCCTAACACACTGCTAAATGCTTAAACTATTAAAACTCAAAGAATCTTGAGTTTGCCAGATTTCAGAGACTGAGATTGCCCTTGCTACCTACAAAGCCTCAAATAAAAAGCTCCAATCAAATTCACAAAAGTTGTTTGTAGAGGTGTCAGAAAATCCAGAAACCTCAATAGCCCCTAAATACTGTCCATTTAATGAACTCTTTTCTCGATCTGGGTTTATTCCATGCTTCAGAAGGCATATCAATTTGAATACAGTAAATCCTTGATATAACAGATTAATAGGGGAGTTTTCATTATATTTAAATATTAAAATATTAAAGTGCACGAATGTACTCTAGTGTATACCTAATATAGCACTAGTGGTACACACAATTGACAAATACGTATACTGCAGTAAACATTGAAAATGAAGAAGTTAAAGTACAATTCAGCCAGTGGATTTTGCCTATAATTTTAAGTCTCTTATATCGAGGTCCATTATATTGAGGGTTAATATACAGTATTGCTCTAGCCTTATTAATACATTAATAAAAGGCTTAAAAAGAAAAACAAGAGAGATTTGGGCATAGGAAATCCAGTGAGCACAGTAACACTTCTCTATTAAGTATAAATTTGTTATTCTGTTATTAATAACTTAAACATTTGTGGTCTACAGTGCCAATTTAATTAAACAACTTTTATTTACTTTTTTTTTAACTTAATGGCCACCTCCCAACAAGGCAGGGTGACCCCAAGAAGAAAACACATTCACCAACATTCACTCAATCATTGTCTTTCCAAAAGTGTGCTGACATCACAGCCAAATTATTCTGGGTGCAAAATCCTCACTCCTCCTTCCAAGTGAACTTTTCTCAACTGAAATTAATCAGCAGGGCTTAGCATAAAAAGAAAATCTATTCCCTATAAAATTAATAAGGAATATCTGAAACTGCAAATGGGAAATACTTACTGTACAGTTCAGTAGATGCCTAGGTTTCTCAAATTTTTTTTTTTTTTTAACTATGCATTATAGTTATGAATACTTCAGCAACACAATTACTTAAATAATTAAAACATAGGCTTAAAAGAGCCTGACTTATGATATATGCATATCAAAGTTTAACAAAATGTTGGGACTAAGATTTCTCTAAATTGTACAGATTTTATACATTTTTTCACAATTTTGGGCCAAACACCACCTTCAAACCTAACATTGTCCCCATCATCAAACAGTTAAAAACATCATCACTACACCCATAGTAAGCAGCCAACTGGATCTTTGTTAGTAATTAGTATCGGTACAGTATTTATAAGATTTTTCAGCTCTCAAGAAGTTCTTAGACTTTTCATTCCTGAATTACCAATGTTCTACTGTAGCACAATTTTATTTATATTTTGATGAATTTTTTTTTTTTCAACTAGTCAGCCATCTTCCACTTAGGCAGGGTGACCCACAAGAAAATCCCCAAAAAGAAAATACTTTCATCATCATTCAACACTTTCACCTCACTCATACATAATCACGTCTTTGCAGAGGCCCCAGAAAACATTTAAAAAGCAATATAAAGTATTAACACCCCAAAAACCCTCCTTTAAATGAGGCATTGTTTCCTTTTATCATCAAGTTGGCTATTAAAAAAAAAAAAGGTTTTCCCTGAACCCCTTCACTAATTTTCCCCTGCTCACACCCCAAACAGCTTGTAGGTCCAAAAACCATTTGTCTCCATTCACCTATCAAAACATGCTCAAGTTTCTTGTGGAAGTCCAACCCCTTTCCCCAAAAAATCCTTTACCCCCCCCTCCAACTTTTTGGGAGGGACCCTACCCCATTTTCCCTTTTCCCTACAGTTTATGCTTCTGTCATTTTTTGTTTTCCTTTTCTCTCTAAATGACCAAAACCACCCCAACAACCCCCCCTTTAGCCCTTGATTACTTTTATTAACTCCACACCTCCTAATTTTCACACTCAAAAATTTTCTGCATAAAATTTACACCACACATTGCCCTTAGACAGGACATCTCCACTGCCTCCAACCGCCTCCTCGCTGCAGCATTTACAACCCAAGCTTCACACCCATATAAGAGTGTTGGTACCACTATACTTTCATACATTCCCTTCTTTGCCTCCATAGATAATGTTTTTTTGTCTCCACATATACCTCAATGCGCCACTCACCTTTTTTCCTTCATCAATCCTATGGTTAACCTCATCCTTCATAAACCTATCCGCTGACACGTAAACTCCCAAATATCCGAAAACATTCACTTCTTCAATACTCCATCTCTCCAATGTGATATTCAATTTTTCTTTATCTAAATCGTTTGATACACTCATCACTTTACTCTTATCTATGTTCAGTTTCAACTTTCTACCTTTACACACCCTCCCAAATTTGTCCACTAACCTTCGCAACTTTTCTTTGGAATTTCCCATAAGCACAGTATCATCAGCAAAAAGTAACTGTGTCAACTCCCATTTTGTACTTGATTCCCCATAATTTAATCCCACCCCTCTCCCCAACACCCTAGCATTTACCTCCTTCACAACACCATCTATGAATATATTAAACAACCATGGTGACATGACACATCCCTGTCTAAGACCTACTTTAACCGAGAAGTAATCTCCCTCTCTCCTACACACCCTAACCTGACCCTCACTATCCTCATAAACACTCTTTACGGCCTTTAATAACTTACTACCTATTCCATACACTTGCAACATTTGCCACATTGCTCCCCTATACAATATTATTTGCCTTTTCTAAATCCACAAATGCAATGAAAACTTCCCTACCTTTATCTATTTTTTTTTTTTTTTTTCAACAAGTCGGTCGTCTCCCACCGAGGCAGGGTGACCCAAAAAAAAGAAAGAAAATCCCCAAAAAGAAAATACTTTCATCATCATTCAACACTTTCACCACACTCACACATTATCACTGCTTTTGCAGAGGTGCTCAGATATACAACAGCTTAGAAGCATATACGTATAAAGAAACACAACATATCCCTCCAAACTGCCAATATCCCAAACCACTCCTTTAAAGTGCAGGCATTGTACTTCCCATTTCCAGGACTCAAGTCCGACTATATGAAAATAACCGGTTTCCCTGAATCCCTTCACTAAATATTACCCTGCTCACACTCCAACAGATCGTCAGGTCCCAAGTATCATTCGTCTCCATTCACTCCTATCTAACACGCTCATGCACGCTTGCTGGAAGTCCAAGGCCCCTCGCCCACAAAACCTCCTTTACCCCCTCTTTCCAACCCTTTCGAGGACGACCCCTACCCCTCTTTCCTTCCCCTATAGATTTATATGCTTTCCATGTCATTCTACTTTGATCCATTCTCTCTAATGACCTAACCACCTCAACAACCCCTCTTCTGCCTCTGACTAATGCTTTTATTAACTCCACACCTTCTCCTAATTTCCACACTCCAAATTTTTTGCATAATATTTACACCACACATTGCCCTTAGACAGGACATCTCCACTGCCTCCAACCATCTCCTCGCTGCTGCATTTACCACCCAAGCTTCACATCCATAAAAGTGTGTTGGTACTATTATACTTTCATACATTCCCTTCTTTGCCTCCATAGATAACGTTTTTTGACTCCACATATACCTCAACGCACCACTCACCTTTTTTCCCTCATCAATTCTATGATTAACCTCATCCTTCATAAATCCATCCGCCGACACATCAACTCCCAAGTATCTGAAAACATTCACTTCTTCCATACTCCTCCTCCCCAATTGATATCCAATTTTTCTTTATCTAAATCATTTGATACCCTCATCACCTTACTCTTTTCTATGTTCACTTTCAACTTTCTACCTTTACACACACTTCTCAAATCATCCACTAACCTTTGCAATTTTTCTTTAGAATCTCCCATAAGCACATTATCATCAGCAAAAAGTAACTGTGTCAATTCCATTTTGAATTTGATTCCCCATAATTTAATCCCACCCCTCTCCCGAACACCCTAGCATTTACTTCTTTTACAACCCCATCTATAAATATATTAAACAACCATGGTGACATTACACATCCCTGTCTAAGACCTACTTTTACCGGAAGTATTCTCCCCCTCTTCTACACACACCTAACCTGAGCCTCACTATCCTCATAAAAGCTCTTTACAGCATTTAGTAACTTACCACCTATTCCATAAACTTGCAACATCTGCCACATTGCTCCTCTATCCACTCTATCATATGCCTTTTCTAAATCCATAAATGCAATAAAAACTTCCCTACCTTTATCTAAATACTGTTCACATATATGCTTCAATGTAAACACTTGATCTACACATCCCCTACCCACTCTGAAGCCTCCTTGCTCATCCGCAATTCTACATTCTGTCTTACCTCTAATTCTTTCAATTATAACCCTACCGTATACTTTTCTGGTATACTCAGTAAACTTATTCCTCTATAATTTTTACAATCTCTTTTGTCCCCTTTCCCTTTATATAAGGGACTATACATGCTCTCTGCCAATCCCTAGGTACCTTCCCCTCTTTCATACATTTATTAAACAAAAGTACCAACCACTCCAACACTATATCCCCCCTGCTTTTAACATTTCTGTCATGATCCCATCAGTTCCAGCTGCTTTACCCCCTTTCATTCTACGTAATGCCTCACGTACCTCCACCACACTTACATTCTGCTCTTCTTCACTCCTAAAAGATGGTATACCTCCCTGGCCAGTGCATGAAATTACCGCCTCCCTTTCTTCCTCAAATTTAAAAGTTCCTCAAAATATTCTCGCCATCTACCTAATACCTCCCTCTCCCATCTACTAACTCCCCTACTCTGTTTTTAATGGACAAATCCATACTTTCCCTAGGCTTTCTTAACTTGTTTAACTCACTCCAAAATTTTTTTCTTTTTTCATTTAAAATTTCTTGACAGTGCCTCTCCCACTCTTTCATCTGCTCTCCTTTTGCACTCTCTCACCACTCTCTTCACCTTTCTTTTACTCTCCATATACTCTGCTCTTCTTAAAACACTTCTGCTTTGTAAAAACCTCTCGTAAGCTACCTTTTTCTCTTTTATCACACCCTTTACTTCATCATTCCACAATCACTCCTCTTTCCTCCTGCCCCCACCCCTATAACCACAGACTTCTGCCCCACATTCTAATACTGCATTTTTAAAACTATTCCAACCCTCTTCAACCCCCCCACTACTCATCTTTGCACTAGCCCACCTTTCTGCCAATAGTCGCTTATATCTCGCCCCCAACTTCCTCCTCCCTTAGTTTATACACTTTCACCTCCCTCTTACTTGTTGTTGCCACCTTCCTCTTTTCCCATCTACCTCTTACTCTAACTGTAGCTACAACTAAATAATGATCTGATATATCAGTTGCCCCTCTATAAACATGTACATCCTGGAGACTACCCATCAACCTTTTATCCACCAATACATAATCTAACAAACTACTTTCATTACGTGCTACATCATACCTTGTATATTTATTTATCCTCTTTTTCATAAAATATGTATTACTTATTACCAAATTTCTTTCTACACATAGCTCAATTAAAGGCTCCCCATTTACATTTACCCCTGGCACCCCAAATTTACCTACTACTCCCTCCATAACATTTTTACCCACTTTAGCATTGAAATCCCCAACCACCATTACTCTCACACTTGATTCAAAACTCCCCACGCATTCACTCAACATTTCCCAGAATCTCTCTCTCTCCTCTACACTTCTCTCTTCTCCAGGTGCATACACGCTTACTATAACCCACTTTTCACATCCAATCTTTATTTTACTCCACATAATCCTTGAACTTATGCATTTGTAGTCCCTTTTTTCCTGCCATAGCTTATCCTTCAACATTATTGCTACTCCTTCTTTAGCTCTAACTCTATTTGAAACCCCTGACCTAATCCCATTTATTCCTCTCCATTGAAACTCTCCCACCCCCTTCAGCTTTGTTTCACTTAAAGCCAGGACATCCAGTTTCTTCTCATTCATAACATCCACAATCATCTCTTTCTTATCATTTGCACAACATCCACGCACATTCAGACATCCCACTTTGACAATTTTCTTCTTCTTCTTCTTCTTCTTCTTCTTCTTATTCTTTATCTAAATACTGTTCACATATATGATATACAGATCCCCTACCCACTCTAAAACCTCCTTGCTCATCTGCAATCCTATTCTCTGTTTCACCGCTAATTCTCTCAATAATAACCCTACTGTACACTTTTCCTGGTATACAGTGGACCCCCGGTTAACGATATTTTTTCACTCCAGAAGTATGTTCAGGTGCCAGTACTGACTGAATTTGTTCCCATAAGGAATATTGTGAAGTAGTTTAGTCCATTTCAGACCCCCAAACATACACGTACAAACGCACTTACATAAATACACTTACAACATAATTGGTCGCGTTCGGAGGTGATCGTTATGCGGGGGTCCACTGTACTTAGTAAACTTATTCCCCTATAATTTTTATAGTCTCTTTTGTCCCCCTTTCCTTTATATAAAGGAACTATACATGCTCTCTCATAATCCCTAGGTTATCTTTCCTTCTTTCATATATTTATTAAACAAAAATAGTACCAACCACTCCAACACTATATCCCCCTCCCCCTGCTTTTAACATTTCTGTCATGATCCATCAGTTCCAGCTGCTTTACCCCCTTTCATTCTACGTAATGCCTCACGCACCCCCATCTCCCCAGCTACTAACTCCCCTACTCTGCTTTTTAACTGACAAATCCATTCGTCCCCTAGGTTTTCTTAACTTGTTTATCTCACTACAAAATTTTTTATTTTCATCAAAATTTCTTGACAGTGCCTCTCCCACTCTATCATCTGCTCTCCTTTTGCACTCTCTTAATCTTTCTTTTAATCTCCATATACTCTGGTCTTCTTATAACACTTCTGCTTTGTAAAAACCTCTCATAAGCTACCCTTTTCTCTTTTATCACACCCTTCACTTCATCATTCCACCAATCACTCCTCTTTCCTCCTGCACCCACCCTCCTATAGCCACAAACTTCTATCCCACTTTCTAATACTGCATTTTTAAAACTATTCCAACACTCTTCAACCCCCCACTACTCATACTTGCACCAGCCCATCTTTCTGCCAACAGCTGCTTATATCTCACCCTAACTTCCTCCTCCCTTAGTTTATACACTTTCACCTCTCTTACTTGTTGTTGCCATTTTTCTTCTGTCCCATCTACCTCTTACTTTAACTGTAGTTATTACTAAATAATGATCCAATATATCAGTTGCCCCTCTATAAACATGTACATCCTGAAGCCTACTTATCAACCTTTTATCCACCAATACCTAATCTAACAAACTACTTTCATTACGTGCTATATTGTACCTCGTATACTTATTTATCCTCTTTTTTTCATAAAATATGAATTACTTATTACCAAACCTCTTTCTACACATAGCTCAATTAAAGGCTCCCCATTTTCATTTACCCCTTGCACCCCAAATTTACCTACTACTCCCTCCACAACATTTTTACCCACTTTAGCATTGAGATCCCCAACCACAAGTACTCTCACTAGGTTCAAAACTCCCCATGCATTCACTCAACATTTCCCAAAATCTCTCTCTCTCCTCTACACTTCTCTCTTCTCCAGGTGCATAAACACCTACTATAACTCACTTCACATCCAACCCTTTTTTTTACTCCACATAATCCTTGAATTTATACATTTATATTCCTTCTTTTCCTGCCATAACTTATCCTTCAACATTATTGCTGCTCCTTCTTTAGCTCTATTGAAACCCCTGACCTAATCCCATTTATTTCTCCCCAGAAACTCTCCCACCCCCTTCAGCTTTGTTTTGCTTAAGGCCAGAACATTCAGCTTCTTCTCATTTATAACATCAACAATCATCTCTTTCTTATGATTTGCACAACATCAATGCACATTCAAATATCCCAGAATTTAAAAAATTCTATACCAAGAATACAATGAGTTCAGCTACAAAATCTTACCTCTTTATGGGATCTTGACACCAAAGTGCTCTCACAGCAGAATCTCTCCTTCCATCAGCAACTTCCAAGTGTAACAGCAAGCACCAATGACGAAAATAATCCAAATGGGCCTGAGAGGGCATAACATCAATAATTTATTTTAAAATGGAACATTTTCACTTCAAGACAAACTTCAGAGAATTCTTCAATACAGCTAAAGATTTCTAAATTAAATCATTCTTTTTGTCTAAGGAAATAGCTATGAAGAGCACTGTAATTTTAATGTTTATAGGCAGTTGTCTACATCACTATCTTACTTTTATTATTTTCCATGGGAAAGTGGAACAAAATTCTTTCTCCATAAGCCATGCGTGTTGTAAGAGGCGACTAAAATGCCGGGAACCAAGGGCTAGTAACCCTTTCTCCTATATCTGTTACAAAATTTAACCCTTTCAGGGTTTTCAACATACTAATACGGCTTACGCACCAGGGTTATTGACGTACGAGAATGCCTAAATTCTAGCGCCTTCAAATCTAGTGAGAGAAAGCTGGTAGGCCTACATATGAAAGAATGGGTCTATGTGGTCAGTGTGTGCAGTATAAAAAAAATCCTACATCACACAGTGCGTAATGAGAAAAAAAAAACTGAAAGTGTTTTTGGATTAAAACAGCTACTTTGCACTGTATTTTCGTATGGTATTTATGGTTGTATTCTAGTTTTCCTGGCCTCATTTTATAGAATGGAAGACATATTACAGAAATTGAGATGACTTTGATTGGTTTCACAATGAAAAGTACCTTGAAATTGAGCTCAAAGTAGCAGAAATGTTTGATTTTTACCAAAGTTCAAAAGTAAACAAATCATGCCAAGCGTCCAATACACGTCAACTGGTGAGTACATGTAATATTCTTTCACAAGTGCGCTGATATTAATCCCATTTCTACACTAATGCAGTAGTCTGCATAACAGTAAATCTTCTATTTTTTTTTTTTTTAGAATAAAAATTCAAAGTGGAAAGCACAAGAAATATAAGAGGGGCCTGGGGACGTGACTAACAGAGAATTTGTTATTTTAGTGCCAGGAATGTCTGTCTTGTTTATTCTGGACTATTTGGAAATTGGCATCTTCTGAAATTTGTGTGAAATTGGCAAAATTGCCAATTTCTAACCACTTTATTGGATAGTTGAAACTGGTAAATGGGTGGTTTCTCGTACTCATTTGATAGAAAAAATGGAGTTCTAGCGAAATAAATATGATTTTTGTCGACTAGTACACAGGAATTGGCTGAAAATAGGGCTCAAAGTGGGCGAAACCACCGATGCATAAACATCGGCGAGACCGCTAACTTTGTGAGAGCATAATTCCGTAAGTTTTCCATCAAATTTCATACTTTTGGTGTCATTATGATAGGGAAAAGATTCTCTACCATTTCTTAAGAAAAAAATTTTTTTTTTTTTTTTTTTCCGAAAAATTTTCAACCCTGAGAACAAGTTTAGGAGAGGGCCTCTCGACCATGAAAGGGTTAAAAAGAGAAACTTTCACTTTTCTTTTTTGGGCCACCCTGCTTCAGTGGGATACAGCCAGATTGTTGAAAGAAGAAAGAAGACTTTTATTATTTTGAATCTAACTCTTGACAACATAAATATGTAAAAAATAAAAATAAAAATGCAAATTATAGCATCCTAATTTTTTAAACACACAGAAAGCTGGTCTCCGCCCTTTAGTGTTGTTAGAAACACAACAGACAAATAACTTATGCTAGAAACAATGAAGTAGGGCTTGAGAACTAAAAACTGAAGACAGAAAAATAGTAAAAAAAAAAAAGTAAAATACAGAATCATCATTCTGGAGACAATGAAGTGGTATAAAAAATAAATTGTGCCATGTACAGTATACAATGTCTGCAAAAAGACACGAGTGTATCACAAAACAGTGTTGACACTAAGGTCCTCTTGAGTATTTTGTATGTTGTTGTCATGTCTTCTGGGTCCTTCTGTCCTCCAAGGTTATTAGGTTCAATACCTTGAGCCTCTCTTCATAGCTCAAACCTGTTAGCTCTGGAACCAGTCTTGCTGCATATTTCCGGACTTTCTCCAGTTTCATGACATGCTTTCTTATGTGTAGGTTCCACTTCAATGTTGCATATCCAAGATGGGACTCACATGTTGTACACAGTGCCTGGAATGACTTTTTGAATGACTCCCTTTGAACATAGTACTGTACCACCAGTGAAAGCACTGTGGAGACTGCTGAGGAAGATGCGCAAATTAAATGAGAAGCACTGTAGTGTAATTTGTTATATCTGTCCCTTGTAATGCATTTTATTTCACTTCACTTTCTCTTAAATATTGTCAAAAAAAATTTTTTTTCTTATTATCCCATCTTTCCTACCTTAAGTCATACTTAGAAAACTGTTGCAGTATTTCCAATAGAATCATCCCTCTTTACAAGTGAATTAAGATGGCTTAGGTTATGAATGTTTTTTTTTTTTTCCTAGCAAATACTAGGTCAAGTACTAACATTGTGTTGCCTTCTCTCTCACGGATCATTCTTGCCTATGTTGATGAATAAAAAAAGGAATTTAACTGATCGTATATTTAGTTTCAGCCTTATAGGCTATCAAGTCTACTCCTTAATTTTGCAAAAAATCCTCGACTCTAAAAGATTTTTTTGTTGAATTTAGAGGTTAAGAGCCGATTTCATACGCCAATTAATTTCAAAGCTTAGCACTATCTAAGGTATTTTATTTCCTTTTTACTATATGAACCACATGTCAATGAACACTTGGGTACCTATATACTACTAGCTGAAGAGGGACAAAAGGTGTTAGGATACATGATGAATAACTCCACCCACTGCAGGATTAAACCTGGATCCTTCTGTTAAGCAGAATGCACTATTACAGGGTCCTGCACTAGACCACATAGATTTAGTGTCACAACTTTTATTATAATACAGTACTGGTAAAAACTATGCTTACAGAAAAATACATTTTTATTAAGGTTGTAATAAGGCAAGTAATTTCAGTGATAAAATTGAAACTCTGGTTTGCAAACTGTAGGCAAACCAAGTATACTCGGTCCTGAGAGCGTGGTTTTTGCGCATGTCCTCCTGCTCCCCCAGCGCATCTGGGTTCCCATTCTCTATTTCTGACCAATCACAAACCTTCCCTGAGTCGCTCCAGCTAAGCTGTGATGGTGTCTCCTCGCTTCCCATTGGTCGAGAGAGCAGAATGCAAACACTTCTAGCTTGTCGTCGCCCAGACTCGTGTTTTTCGTTGAGTGCTCCTTATATACTCAAGCATTTCACCCTCTACAATGTCGGTAAGTACTGATTTGTGTGTCTAGTGCGTAAATGAATAGTTTAGCCATATTTTGATATATATATAAAGACGTTGTGAAGCATAATAAGAGTGCACCATGCAAATGAAAAAAGTGCAACAAAAGAGGACCGAGTACACTCGGTCCTGCCCATTTAGGTGAAGTTTTCAAGTTTCGGTATATAAATATTTCCATAAAATTTGGTAGTGTATATATGAATTCAGTAATGATCTGGGTGTGTACAGAACGCTTTTATTGTCCTTCCAGATCAATCAGAAATTGTTCTACGGTGAGTCTTCCAAGGATAAGTCGAAATTTGTCTGTGTTTGGAACGATAGTGACTCAGCTCAAGACCCAGATGACCTTCATGTGGTGGAAACTGATGATGAATGTCATCTGTGTTTGGAACGATAGTGACTCAGCTCAAGACCCAGATGACCTTCATGTGGTGGAAACTGATGATGAATACTTGCCACCAGATGCAGAGGTGTCAACAGATGAGGAGGAAGAAGCTGGGCCACCAGCAAAAAAGCAGAAAGTGAACAAGAAGAAGAAACGTATTACTGTGGAGGAGTACCCTGATGAAGAACAGCTTCAAGATGATCTTGCTTCTCAAGGAGACACCCAATGGAAGAATGAGGACATCCAGAATGGCCCTTTGCCTGCATATCAACATGTAAAGCCTATTGAAGTTAGGTGTGCATATGATTATTTTACAGACTTTTTTACTCAAGACATGATAGACAACATTGCATTTCAAACTAATTTGTATGCCAGACAAAAAAACATACTACTTTTCAAACAGATTCTGAGGAAATAACTAGGTTCATAGGTATTCTGTTGTATATGGGTTACACTGTACAGCCATCCATTGAGGACTATTGGGGAACTGCAAGTAAGGTAATTCAAGTTGCAGAAGTCATGGGATCAAAAAGGTTTAGGTTGCTGAGGCATACGATTCATTTCAATGATAACACACAAAAGAAGGGTAATGACAGATTCCACAAAATACGGCCTCTTTACAATGCACTAACTAAAGCTTGCTTAAAAGTTCCAGCTACACCCAAGCAGTCTGTTGATGAAGTTATGGTTGCTTTCAAGGGTAAAACAGCTGGAAACCTAAGGCAATACATCAAAAACAAACCAGACAAGTGGGGTTTCAAACTCTTCTGTCGTGCCAGTGAAGATGGAATCAAACATGATATTCTCATGTATCAAGGTAACCCAACTTTTGAGAACCATCACATAAAGCTGCCAAATGAAGAAAGTAAACTCCCAATGAGTTCCAGGATTATTCTTGTACTTGCAGCATCTCTCGACCAAAGAAAAACATCAGGAGTCTATGCTGATAATTTCTTTTCAAGTTTACCTTTGGTCAAGGTACTGAGAGACAAGTATAACTGCAGGTACACTGGAACAATACATGATAATAGACGTGGTAAGCCACAAATGATGCCTGTGAAACAAATAGAAAAGAGCAATGTGGCCAGGGGCAATTTTGAATTCAAAAGCAATGATGATATCCTTCTTGTAAGATGGACAGCAACCACCCAGGGAAGTACTACCGTCCTGCCAGATGACTGTGAAACAGAAACCTGTAACTGTTTTGCATGATGGTAGGATTGCTGGTTTCTTTTTTCTGTCTCATAAACACGCTAGATAACAGGGATATCTTGCTACTCCTACTTACACTTTGGTCACACTTCACAGACACGCACATGCATATATATATACATACATCTAGGTTTTTCTCCTTTTTCTAAATAGCTCTTGTTCCTCTTTATTTCTTCTATTGTCCATGGGGAAGTGGAAAAGAATCTTTCCTCCGTAAGCCATGCGTATCGTATGAGGCGACTAAAATGCCGGGAGCAATGGGCTAGTAACCCCTTCTCCTGTAGACATTTACTAAAAAAGAGAAGAAGAAAAACTTTATAAAACTGGGATGCTTAAATGTGCGTGGATGTAGTGCGGATGACAAGAAACAGATGATTGCTGATGTTATGAATGAAAAGAAGTTGGATGTCCTGGCCCTAAGCGAAACAAAGCTGAAGGGGGTAGGGGAGTTTCGGTGGGGGGAAATAAATGGGATTAAATCTGGAGTATCTGAGACAGTTAGAGCAAAGGAAGGGGTAGCAGTAATGTTGAATGATCAGTTATGGAAGGAGAAAAGAGAATATGAATCTGTAAATTCAAGAATTATGTGGATTAAAGTAAAGGTTGGATGCGAGAAGTGGGTCATAATAAGCGTGTATGCACCTGGAGAAGAGAGGAATGCAGAGGAGAGAGAGAGATTTTGGGAGATGTTAAGTGAATGAATAGGAGCCTTTAAACCAAGTGAGAGTAATTGTGGTAGGGGATCTGAATGCTAAAGTAGGAGAAACTTTTAGAGAGGGTGTGGTAGGTAAGTTTGGGGTGCCAGGTGTAAATGATAATGGGAGCCCTTTGCTTGAACTTTGTATAGAAAGGGGTTTAGTTATAGGTAATACATATTTTAAGAAAAAGAGGATAAATAAGTATACAAGATATGATGTAGGGCGAAATGACAGTAGTTTGTTGGATTATGTATTGGTAGATAAAAGACTGTTGAGTAGACTTCAGGATGTACATGTTTATAGAGGGGCCACAGATATATCAGATCACTTTCTAGTTGTAGCTACACTGAGAGTAAAAGGTAGATGGGATACAAGGAGAATAGAAGCATCAGGGAAGAGAGAGGTGAAGGTTTATAAAACTAAAAGAGGAGGCAGTTAGGGTAAGATATAAACAGCTATTGGAGGATAGATGGGCTAATGAGAGCATAGGCAATGGGGTCGAAAAGGTATGGGGTAGGTTTAAAAATGTAGTGTTAGAGTGTTCAGAAAAAGTTTGTGGTTACAGGAAAGTGGATGCGGGAGGGAAGAGGAGCGATTGGTGGAATGATGTGAAGAGAGTAGTAAGGGAGAAAAAGTTAGCATATGAGAAGTTTTTACAAAGTAGAAGTGATGAAAGGAGGGAAGAGTATATGGAGAAAAAGAGAGAGGTTAAGAGAGTGGTGAAGCAATGTAAAAAGAGAGCAAATGAGAGAGTGGGTGAGATGTTATCAACAAATTTTGTTGAAAATAAGAAAAAGTTTTGGAGTGAGATTAACAAGTTAAGGAAGCCTAGAGAACAAATGGATTTGTCAGTTAAAAATAGGAGAGAAGAGTTATTAAATGGAGAGTTAGAGGTATTGGGAAGATGGAGGGAATATTTTGAGGAATTGTTAAATGTTGATGAAGATAGGGAAGCTGTGATTTCGTGTATAGGGCAAGGAGGAACAACATCTTGTAGGAGTGAGGAAGAGCCAGTTGTCAGTGTGGGGGAAGTTCGTGAGGCAGTAGGTAAAATGAAAGGGGGTAAGGCAGCCGGGATTGATGGGATAAAGAGAGAAATGTTAAAAGCAGGTGGGGATATAGTTTTGGAGTGGTTGGTGCAATTATTTAATAAATGTATGGAAGAGGGTAAGGTACCTAGGGATTGGCAGAGAGCATGCATAGTTCCTTTGTATAAAGGCAAAGGGGATAAAAGAGAGTGCAAAAATTATAGGGGATAAGTCTGTTGAGTATACCTGGCAAAGTGTATGGTAGAGTTATTATTGAAAGAATTAAGAGTAAGACGGAGAATAGGATAGCAGATGAACAAGGAGGCTTTAGGAAAGTTAGGGGGTGTGTGGACCAGGTGTTTACAGTGAAACATATAAGTGAACAGTATTTAGATAAGGCTAAAGAGGTCTTTGTGGCATTTATGGATTTGGAAAAGGCATATGACAGGGTGGATAGGGGGGCAATGTGGCAGATGTTGCAGGTGTATGGTGTAGGAGGTAGGTTACTGAAAGCAGTGAAGAGTTTTCACGAGGATAGTGAGGCTCAAGTTAGAGTATGCAGGAAAGAGGGAAATTATCTCCCAGTAAAAGTAGGCCTTAGACAAGGATGTGTGATGTCACCGTGGTTGTTTAATATATTTATAGATGGGGTTGTAAGAGAAGTAAATGCGAGGGTCTTGGCAAGAGGCATGGAGTTTAAAGATAAAGAATCACACATAAAGTGGGAGTTGTCACAGTTGCTCTTTGCTGATGACACTGTGCTCTTGGGAGATTCTGAAGAGAAGTTGCAGAGATTGGTGGATGAATTTGGTAGGGTGTGCAAAAGAAGAAAATTGAAAGTGAATACAGGAAAGAGTAAGGTTATGAGGATAACAAAAAGATTAGGTGATGAAAGATTGGATATCAGATTGGAGGGAGAGAGTATGGAGGAGGTGAATGTATTCAGATATTTGGGAGTGGACATGTCAGCGGATGGGTCTATGAAAGATGAGGTAAATCATAGAATTGATGAGGGGAAAAGGTGAGTGGTGCACTTAGGAGTCTGTGGAGACAAAGAACTTTGTCCTTGGAGGCAAAGAGGGGAATGTATGAGAGTATAGTTTTACCAACGCTCTTATATTGGTGTGAAGCATGGGTGATGAATGTTGCAGCGAGGAGAAGGCTGGAGGCAGTGATGTCATGTCTGAGAGCAATGTGTGTGTGAATATAATGCAGAGAATTCGTAGTTTGGAAGTTAGAGGAGGTGCGGGATTACCAAAACTGTTGTCCAGAGGGCTGAGGAAGGGTTGTTGAGGTGGTTCGGACATGTGGAGAGAATGGAGCGAAACAGAATAACTTCAAGAGTGTATCAGTCTGTAGTGGAAGGAAGGCGGGGTAGGGGTCGGCCTAGGAAAGGTTGGGAGGGAGGGGGTAAAGGAGGTTTTCTGTGCGAGGGGCTTGGACTTCCAGCAGGCATGCGTGAGGGTGTTTGATAGGAGTGAATGGAGACAAATGGTTTTTAATACTTGACGTGCTGTTGGAGTGTGAGCAAAGTAACATTTATGAAGGGGTTCAGGGAAACCGGCAGGCCGGACTTGAGTCCTGGAGATGGGAAGTACAGTGCCTGCACCCTGAAGGAGGGGTGTTAATGCTGCAGTTTAAAAACTGTAGTGTAAAGCACCCTTCTGGCAAGACAGTGATGGAGTGAATGATGGTGAAAGTTTTTCTTTTTCGGGCCACCCTGCCTTGGTGGGAATCGGCCAGTGTGAAAAAAAAAAAAAAAAGAAAAAAAAAAAAAAGTTGGAAGGACAACAAAGTTGTGACTCTAGTCACAAATGATGTGGGAGTTTATCCTTTGAGTCTTATTGAAAGATATGACAAGGCATCAAAGAAGAAAGACCACTTTGAGTGCCCAGGCATCTTCAAGAACTACAATGCACACATGGGAGGTATAGACAAAAGTAACATGTTGGTCCATCTTTACAAAACACCAATGAAATCAAAGTTTGGGTACTGTGGCTGTTTGAAAATGTTTGGCCTTGCTCTTGTAAAATCAGGATTTTTAATTTTGATTGTCGGTCACTAAACCTGCCATGCACCCCACTGAAGCATTCAGGCTTGATATCTCTATCACGCAAGATCAAAGGGACAAAAGCCCAAACCCGAAACCAGATGAGACAAACCCAAAAGAGATTCACCCGCACTTTTTGGTTGACAGATGGGGAAATTGTAAACGGGATACCCACCATTTCAGTTCCAACGTGCACCAGGCCAGATGACAGTGTGGGGTTGGATAAACAGAAAGGCCCTGGCCATTGCTAGGTAAGCTGCTTTCATGAAAAGTTTTGCAGCAAAAGAATAACATGTCACATCCTTTTTTTCCCCTGGCCATTTTAAAAAGTAAATCTAGTAAAAAAAGAAGGATGAAATTGTTTCATAGTTTCATTTGCAAAAGTGATGTAAATGATTGTTCTTTTTCGGGAAACTCAGGAATTTGCCAGTTGAATTGTACCCCATTGAAGTGTTTTTGTTGATAAGTAGTTTTTTCTATTTTTTTTTCTGCTTAATATTGTTCAGAACAATTCCTTTTTATTTTTTTTATTTTCTACTTGTATAAAAATTTTTTTTTTTTTTAAAAATTGCAACCCTCAACTTTTTAAATTTTTAACCCCAAAGGGGCGGACCATTTTACTCGGTTTCGAATATCTGAAATTGCGACTGAAACTTTTACAACTCATTTGGATGGCCTCAAGACCTTACTCGAGCGTTCTATCCCCCTAAAGGGAAAAATCAACTTTCAAATTCGCATTTTAGTCTCCCTTTGTCCTTTAAAGGGATTAAAATGTAAAAAAAAAAAATTAAGTATTTTTCTATAATGAAATTTTTGAACCTCCCCTTTTTGTAAATGATCTGTGACCTTGGGAAAAAGTGTAGCCATGGCATGGGACCTCGGGATGGGTTTCTTCATTGCTTTTTTTATATACTGAGCAAGTTAGCAGGGGGCACACTTCATGCAAGCTTTTAAAAATCAAGGGCTCGGAAAGGGGGGGTAATGCTGAAGGCGAAATACATCAAAAATTGCATCATAATGTAAAAATTTTTATAAAGAAAATAGGGGTAAGGAAAAAAGAAAATCATGGCAAGAATCACAGGAAGGGGAACCCATAGCATCAAGGTGTGAAATTCAGAAAGCCCCAAAATCTAATATCTCTACCAAAATACAGTAAAAACTCCCATAATCAGAAGTAACAGCAAATGCTTTCAAAACCCCCAACACATTTTTTTTAAATTTAAAATTAGTTCAAAAAATTTTACCTGAAATGGGAGGAAAAATTCTAAAATTATACAGCCCCAATTAAACACCCCCACATAAAAAAAAGGGATGCTAGGAACCAACTAGTTTTAAAACCCACTGAGTTCCAGTGCAAATGTGTGAACATAACCATTTTTTTATAATGTATTTCTGAGCAAAAAAACTCATTTCAAGGTGGGAACTTCCTGTATTTTTCCAACCCTTTTGGTGATGAGGATTAGGGTTTCCAGAGAAATTTTGCACAAGAAAATCAGTGACTTGAAACCCAATGTTAAAAAAACAAAAATGCTGTATCACCCTCGTGATATGTCAAACATAGTGGGAGAGACAACACAAAAAAAGGGAACAGCTTTTAGAAAATTTCCAAACAAAAAAGTGAATGGCATAGAAAGGATAGCAAAACTTTGCATACATTGATTACACAGCCGGGGAAAAAAAAACTACTAATTTTTTCCTTTTATGAAACATTACTCATCATAAAAAATATTGAGGTGGGCAAATGTGTTGAACAGCAGAGGGAGAGGGTCCAAGTTTGTGCCCCATTTTCCCCCCTTTCAAACACAGCGTGAAAATTTTCCAAAACCCTCTACTTACTTTATAGCCCAGAGCCCTTTCTCCGGCTCTCACAAATGACGAGAAAAAACCTTTTTTCAATAAAGATAAGCTGCCGACAGAAAAAGACATGACGCACTCGCTTTTTCGAGAACATAGCAGCAAGAGAAATAATAGCCCGAAAAGTCCACAGCAAATGGCATCACTTATTCAGGGATTACATTTTGGGGTTTTAAATAAAAAATATGACTTGCAGTGGAAGGCACTGTGCAGGAAAATCTATTGGCCATGTCAATTCTTTTTTAAAACACAGTACAGTGGACCCCCCCCCTTACGAACGCATCAATTACGTTAATCCGCCAACAAAGCATTTGAACGCAAAAATTTTTCCTTGCCTCACTATAAAAAATCCCTTACTGATTCTCCAGGGCGCACCCACATGTGGCCCCCACCAGTGTTTTAAGCCAGCCATGCGGCCCCCATCTCGCATACATTCGGTCATTTACATTATCCCCGGTTTTCAGTGCTTGTAACGAAAACAAATCACCATTAACCCCAAAAAGCTTCTAGTGCCATCCCCGTGGTAAAAAGGGCGGAATTGTATGGAATTGAAAAAAGAGATTAGGAAATGTGTGCAAAGGGGGTTAAATGCAAAAACCTTTTTACCGATGAAAACACCCGACACGCTACCGAAAGCCTGTTGGCAACCTGTACAAACATGTTAGGCCCTTTTAGGGAAAACTAAAGGGTGGGGGACAGAGCCTATGGCAGATTTTTTTTGTAACAGAAGTCCACTGACTCTCAAGCTGGTCCTGGTGGCATTAAAAGAAGGGAAGTAACCTTGCTACCTCATGTCCTAATGGAAGGGGATTCCCCTTCTAAACAAAAACTTCCACACTCTCCCCTCCTCCCATCCCATCAATCATCACCAGATCTTCAATAAAGGTAAGTGTCATGTATTCTATTCTTAGCAGAGTAGTAATTGTGCATGTCTTCTTCAGTTTGTGTGTATCAAAATTAATATTTCATGTGGTAAATTTTTTTTTTTTTTCATACTTTGGGGTGTCAGGAACAGATTAATTTAACCCTTTGACTGTCGCAACCCCCAATCCTGAGGTGTCTCCTGGTGTCACAAAATTTAAAAAAAAAAAAAAAAAAAAAAAAAAAAAAAAAAAAAAAAAAATCTTATGAAATAATAGAGAATCTTTTCCCGATTGTAATGACACCAAAAAAAACGAAATTTGATGGAAAACTGACGGAATTATGCTCTCGCGAAGTTTGTGACCTCGGCGATATCTACAAATCAGCGATTTCGCCAATTTGAGCCCTATTTTCGGCTAATTCCATTGTTCCAGTCAACCAAACTCATAGCTATTTCTTTAGAACTCAATTTTTTCTATCGATTGAGTACAAGAAACTGCCCATTTACCGATTTCAACTACCCAATAATGTGATCAGAAATTTGCAATTTGGCCAATTTCACGAAAATTAAAAAATATGACAATTTCAAAATAAGGTCCAGAATGAACAATGCAGACATTCCTGGCTCTAAAATAACATTTTCTTTGTTCATCAGTCATTTCTCCAGGCCCCTCTGATATTACTCTTGCTTTCTATTTTGAATTTTTATTCAAACAAAAAATAGAAGACTTACTATTATGCAGACTACTGCAATACTGTAATAATTGTATAAATAACATCAACCTATTCATGACTGCATATTAAAATGGCTAGTTGGACATTTATTGGACAATGGCATCATTTGTTTACTTTTGAACATTGGCAAAAATAAAACATTTCCCCTACTTTGAGCTCCATTTCAAGGTTCTTTTTATAGTAATATCAATCAAAATCACCTCTACTTCTATAATATGTTTTCCATTCTATCAAATGAGACCAAGAAAATGAGAATACAACCATAAATACTATACGAAAATAGACCACAAAGTCGGCATTTTAATTAAAAAAAATGGTCGGAGTTTTTTTTTCTTATTATGCACTGCGTGCTCCAGGATTTTTTTTTATATGGTGCACACTGACCACACAGACCCATTCTCTCACATGTGGGTCTCCAGCTTTCTCCTGCTTGATTTGAAGCCGCTAGAATTTATGAGTATATATACGTCAAACACGGTACCTCGTAAGACGTACATATACGGCCGCGACAGTCAAAGGGTTAATTTCCATTATTTCTTATGGGGAAAATTAATTCGGCTAACGATAATTTTGGCTTACGATGAGCTCTCAGGAACGGATTAATATTGTAAGGCAGGGGTTCACTGTATACTGAACATGGGCCAGTAGGCCACCTGCACTGAGCCTTCCATGCTAGAGTATGTTTACTTAAACTCAAGCATCTGACATCTGAATAAGTAACACCATTCCCTGTGCACTATTTAAGCCATTGCTTCTCTTGTCTGCTATGTACTCGAAAAAACCAAGTGCTGGATGAAACAATGTGCAAATAAATATCTTTACTGTAATCGTGTATTTGTTACCAACCTGAATTTTACTCGTGTGTCTTACACACAAAAATACATTATAAACTTATTATATACACTGCATCATATCTGATACTCAAATAATTCTGAGTACCTCTTACAAACATAATTCATCATCACAATCAAGATACAAATTAATGACATAACTTTTCCCAGACAAATCTGAGAACTTAAGAGATGCCTAGACCAGTTCAACCATTATCTCATAAGTTTGAAGTGATGGTTTTATAAATGGCTTGCTTGCTTCAAACTTAGACTCCAGAGATGGTAAACAAGTAGAAATATTTTATTGACCCCTGAAGTTTTATGTACAGGATAAATAGGTTTAGACTCAAATAATGCTAACAGCAAGTACATCACATGAATAACATCCCTTGCTGAAGCCAGGATATGAACCCAACCTGAGTTGGGTAAAACTGTCACTTCAAACCTGACATCATGTTTGAGTGGCTGGAGATGTTCTGGTGTTGGTTTGTATCCAGGTTTTGCCAAGAAATATTTTACAAATACTGCATACATCTTTCTTACAAAAGTGAAATACACCTACCTAGTATTTTTTTTTTTTTTCCAACAAGTCGGTCGTCTCCCACCGAGGCAGGGTGACCCAAAAAAGAAAGAAAACCCCCAAAAAGAAAATACTTTCATCATCATTCAACACTTTCACCACACTCTCACATTATCACTGCTTTTGCAGAGGTGCTCAGAATACAACAGCTTAGAAGCATATACGTATAAAGATACACAACATATCCCTCCAAACGGGCCCAAAATCCCAAACCACTCCTTAAAGTGCAGGAAATTGTACTTCCCATTTCCAGGACTCAAGTCCGACTATATGAAATAAACCGGTTTCCCTGAATCCCTTCACTAAATATTACCTGCTCACACTCCAACAGATCGTCAGGTCCCAAGTATCATTTGTCTCCATTCACTCCTATCTAACACGCTCATGCACGCTTGCTGGAAGTCCAAAACCCCTCGCCACAAAACCTCCTTTACCCCCTCTTTCCAACCCTTTCGAGGACGACCCCTACCCCTCTTTCCTTCCCCTATAGATTTATATGCTTTCCATGTCATTCTACTTTGATCCATTCTCTCTAAATGACCAAACCACCTCAACAACCCCCTCTTCTGCCCTCTGACTAATGTTTTTATTTTAAATCCACACCTTCTCCTAATTTCCACACTCCGAATTTTATGCATAATATTTACACCACACATTGCCCTTAGACAGGACATCTCCACTGCCTCCAACCGTCCCCCTCGCTGCTGCATTTACCACCCAAGCTTCACATCCATATAAGAGTGTTGGTACTACTATACTTTCATACATTCCCTTCTTTGCCTCCATAGATAACGTTTTTTGACTCCACATATACCTCAACGCACCACTCACCTTTTTTCCCTCATCAATTCTATGATTAACCTCATCCCTTCATAAATCCATCCGCCGACAAAGTCAACTCCCAAGTATCTGAAAACATTCACTTCTTCCATACTCCTCCTCCCCAATTTGATATCCAATTTTTCTTTATCTAAATCATTTGATACCCTCATCACCTTACTCTTTTCTATGTTCACTTTCAACTTTCTACCTTTACACACATTCTCAAACTCATCCACTAACCTTTTGCAATTTTTCTTTAGAATCTCCCATAAGCACAGTATCATCAGCAAAAAGTAACTGTTAATTCCCA